GCAATAGTCAACAGATTAGCTCAATAGCTATTACTCGTCCAAAGGCATACTATTTATTAAGCTTAGATGAGTTTGGTACAAGGCCATACTTTTGAAGCACCCATGGTCGTTATAGGGTTGCTGTTGCAGTTAACTATGATGATTCTGGGTTCAATATCTTTAGTGTTCATGAGCGCTTTATGAGCAAGCGGATTGCCAAAGCCGGCAATGGTACCTGTGGAATTTGAAGTACCTGTGGAATTTGAAGTACCTGTGGAATTTGAAGACCCAGCCGTTCCTAACATAGTGGTGTTTGAGTTTGAAATCGGGATGAAAATAGCGCTGTTCCCGGAATGCAGATGATATGCATATTCAGTTCAATCGCAGATGAGATGAGTTCAGGCTGTTGATTTATGGCGTTAATGCAAAAAAAATCTACCTTTATTTCAATCTTCAACGTTCGCACACCTTAGAGATAAGGTGATAAAAATGGATTGTTTGCAACGATGTGAAGCAAAAAAGTTCCTGGGAGTAGACAAAAAGGCATCTTGAATCCGAAGAAGGTGATACTGTGTATCTGGAAGTGTATTATATATTACGAACTCCGTCCGCAAAAATCAGACGTTGAATTCAGAAAAGTACCGTTCCCAATGTGTCTTATTAAAGTTAGTAATATATGAAAAGCGTTTGGAATTAGTCTGTCAGACGTTGAATTCAGAAAAGTACCGTTCCCAATGTGTCTTATTAAAGTTAGTAATATATGAAAAGCGTTTGGAATTAGTCTGTCAGATAGGTTCCATCAGGGCAACGCTAGACCTCTCACCACTCTACAGATCCGACAGAAATTGGTAAAGTATGGCTAGGATATTTTACTACATCTATCATACTCCTCTGACTTTATGTCAACGTATTTCCACTTATTTCGGTCCCCACGACAATCTCGTAATAGCATGCGTATTGTGGAGATAAGGCGTTGAAAAATGGATTGTTTACAACAATGTGGAGCGCGAAAGTTCCTGGAGTAAACAAAAAAACAGCTCTAAATACGAAAAAGGTGACACTGTGTATCTGGCGCGATTGGAAACCATTGTGTATTACGAGCTCCGTCCTCAAAAATCAGCCGTTGAATACATACAAGCAATGTACCCAAACTGGAACGATTAAACAAAGGAAACGATGAAAAACATCTGACCAATAGAAGCGTTTTTCAGTAGATGGCATTATATATTGTGAACACTTTCCACAAAATCACACGATGAATTCAGAAGTACCGTTTCCAATTTTTATTATGAAAGTTAATAATATATGAAAAAACCTGTTCATCGCCCAGAAATATGTCAAGTTTTGGGAGGATAAGTACTGTAGAGATAAGGCGATGAAAAATGGATTATTTACAACAATGTGGAGCGAAAAAGTTCCCGAGGAAAAGAAAAAGTCGCTCTGAATACGAAGTTCCCCAAGAAGACATGGCTCAGTGTTGGTTAATTGATCGAAAAGTGACTTAACCTAAAGAGTTGTGAGTTCAATCCTTGGCCACAGGATAAAAACTTGGAGAGTTATCAAGGGAAATTAACTAAAACTGAGATATCCAAAGATATGTCAATTAGAATAATCTACCCCCGTGGACTAAATAAAGGACTCAGTTCGAAATTCCGACAAATTGAAGAAGGCCAGAGCATAGAACGACCGAAACGTGGTGAAAGTGGCAATAAGGATGAAAACAACAGTTCAAGCAATGTAAATAGTGTAAATAGTTATAATACTTCATTTAAGAAATAGACAGATCCTGAAGAAGACTAGAGCGTACAATGGCTGAAACATCGTGAATATGGCAACAAAGATGTGGACTACAGTCAGAGCAATGTAAATAGTGTAAATACTTAAAATACCTCATCTCAGATATATAGACAGATCCCGAAGAAGGCTGGAGCGTACAATGGCTGAAACATCGTGAATATGACAACAAAGATGTGGACTACAGTCAGAGCAATGTAAATTGTGTAAATAATTACAAATTTCATCTCAGAAATAGACATATCCCGAAGACGGCTAGAGTGTACAACAGTCGAAATGTCGTGAATATGGTAACAAAGATGGGGACATCAGTCCGAGCAATGTAAATAGTGTAAATAGTTATAATACTTCATCTCAAAAATATAGAGATTTTGAAGAAGGTAAAAAGGCCGCTCTGAATCTGAAGATGATTTTGTGCATCTGCTGAGATCAGAAGGGCATTGTGTATTACGGGCCCCTTCCGCGGGATCAGATGTTGAAATCAGATATGCATTGTTTTGAATTGAACCGATTAAACAAAGGAATCGATAAAAAAAAAACATCAGGAAATTGGTCACCCCGAAAAGCGTCGTTTTCCAACAGGATAGCACCAAACCTATGAAGTGGAAAGACTCTACTGAATCCATGCTAACAGTTTCTTTTCTCGCACTTCTCGCTTGTGGAACTCCCTTCCGTCTCCATGCTTTCCAGCCAAATTTAATCTGCAAAAATTTAAATACAATGTCAAACGCTATCTACTGTCCTCATGATTACTCTGTTCTCTTCTTGCTCATTATTAATGTTTCTATTCCTATATCTTTCACACTCGGTAACCCCTTGTGAGTTAGTGGATTTACTGCCTTGCTTGGGGTAAAATCGATAAATAAAATACAAAAAGAAAACAAAACAAAAAAGCAACAACAAAAAAATCTCACATCGCTTTGCCGAATTGACAGAAATTGGTACAACTTGACTAGGATATTTTACAACATACGCCGTACCCAGTTGACCATGGACGTTTGGATTTCCAATATATCAAAAAGACGGTTATTTCCTTAACTCTGCTATTACTGTATAGACTGTTGAATCTCTTGGCAATGTTTATTTACAAGATTATAAAAATATGCGAACCAAGTACGCGATATTTATCAATCAGCCAACTGACAAATTTTATATGTGTATTTATCCTTATTTATTATTTACCATTTCGAAAGAAATATTTTCAATTTTATAAAAAATTACAAAATTATCAAAATATGTACATCAACTACAATGAAATATTTATCTTGAAAAATGTTTGAAAACGTTTGAAATCGTTAATTAAAATAAATGCCTAGAAAATCTGCCGACAGATTAATCTAATAAATAAATACTGATTAATATCTTTGCTGGCAATTCTCAAGATTAAAGAAAATTCAGTTTAATATGTTTGTGTTTCATTAAAATTGTAATCATTGCTTTTTAAAACAATATTGCCGAGGGAATCAAAAGTGTATACAGTAATAGCGGTGTTAAGCGAATAACCGTCCTTTTGATATGTTGATTTTTTTTCCAGGCACGAAGGTTAAACATTGCCAAAATATCTTTCTGGGAAGAACTCCAATGCTCTGGGAGCCTGTAAAACCACATAGACCAGTTTATCACTCGGAAAGATGTCAAGTTTAGGGAGGACGGAATCATGAAGCTGCTTCAAAGATGGCGAAAGCTTCTTCTTTTATGTGCCGTGTCCCTTGAAGACGTAGGCGATCATAGCTCTCCACTTCCTCCTATCCCTAGTAGTTCTCAATAAGTTTTATCTTTTTGCTACTTCTCCCAGAGCCTGTTCTGTCATCCACTTGCTTGAGCCTGCTAGGTATGTAACGCGTTGCTTTTCCTCTGTTCGCCCTGGGAGTATCAGATTTTTCAAGCCTTTCTTTCTCGTCACGTGTCCAGAAATTTCAGCAGTCTCTTCCTGATGTTGAGTATAAGCTTCGTCCTTGTTTGCATCCTTTCCAAAACCTCATCATTGCTCACATGTTCGGTCCATGTTGTCCTTAGCATCCTCTGTTGCCTTGAGTCTCTTCTTCATCTTTGAGGAGAATGGAACAAAATAGCACATATGTGGTTGAATAAATCTGTCGTCATCATCATTCTCTCGACTGCTCCAATCGTTGTGGGTATCTGAGGGCAGAAGAAACAGAATTCTTCCTCATGATCCTTTCTGTATGCTTTCAGACTGCTTGGCGGCACCCATCTCCTCTCCAAGACCGATAACTGCAGATAACGGAATATGGTGTTGGTCGCCTTTTGAATTCAGAGTTGTTCTTTTAGACTGGTTGTCAACCAAGGCTATCGGACCTGGGAATGGGGAGAAGAAATGGATTCATACCTTTCCAAAAGGCTATTAGCGCGTTAATGAATGTAACTAACCCGACTGGAATTCGAACCCGGCTCTTTGATTTCCCATTCGGAGCCGATATCTATTACACCACCGCGCACATTAGGAACAGTGTATATGCTATTCAATCCATAGCTGGCGGAAGGGAAGTGATAGGTTTATACATTTCCAAAGGGTATTAGCACGTAAGTGAATGCAATGAAAACGACTATAATACGAACTCGACTGTAATTCCTCAATCCGAGCCGCTATCCATTTAGTCCACCGGGAAGTGGGCGGAAAGTTTCGACCGTTACATTGGTAATCATCAGGGAGGAAACTTAGATAGATTCAATTTAATTCTTAAAAACAATTAACAAATTTCTACGCTTTTTTGGCATGAAAGTAAACACGTAATTTATCTTATTCTGACTCCTCCCTTGCCGTCCTTATATATATATATATATATATATATATATATATATATATATATATAGTGTAACCCGGATATAAGAGAGTTGTCGGGACCGGAGAAGAAGTCTCTTATATCCGGGTTTCTCTTATATCCGGGTTTCTCTTATATCCGGGTTTGGTCTATTTTATATACATTAACACAGGCTCTAATTTGGGACCAGAGAAAATCTCTCTTATATCTGGGTTTCTCTTATATCCGGGTCTCTTATATCCGGGTTACACTGTATATATATATATATATATATATATATATATTATAAATGTTTGAGTAATTATCAGCTTTCGACCTGTTAGATCCTACCAAGGCTACCCAATAAGTAAATTTGGTAAACTCAACAATATTTTAAGTTTATTTAAAAAAAAAAAAATGAGGGTTTTAGTCTATATTTCCGTTTTCGATTTCATTTGGTTATATGTTTTACCGCCTGGAAAAAAAAGAAGAAAAAACAGGACAAGAAGAAAAAAAGGAAAGAAGTAAAAACAGGCGAAGAAAGAAAAAAAGGAGAAGAATGAAAAAGAAGAAAAAGGAGAAGGAAGAAAAAAGGAGAATTAGAAAAGAGGAAAAGAAAAAAGAAAAGAAAAAGAAGAAAAAGGAAAAAAGAAGAAAAAGAGAAGAAAGGAAGGAAAAAGAAGAAGAAGAAAAAAGAAGAAAAAGGAGAAAGAAGAAAAAAGGAGAATTAGGAAAGATGAAAAGAAAAAAGAAAAGAAAAAGAAGAAAAAGGAAAAAAGAAGAAAAAGAGAAGAAAGAAAAGAAAAAAGAAGAAGAATAAAAAAGAAGAAAAAGGAGAAAGAAGAAAAAAGGATAATTAGAAAAGAGGAAAAGAAAAAAGAAAAGAAAAAGAAGAAAAAGGAAAAAAGAAGAAAAAGATAAGAAAGAAAAGAAAAAAGAAGAAGAAAAAAGAAGAAAAAGGAGAAGGAAGAAAAAAGGAGAATTAGGAAAGAAGAAAAGAAAAGGAAAAGAAGAAGAAGAAAGGTAGGAAAAAAGAAGAAGAATAAAAAAGAAGAAAAAGAAGAAGGAAGAAAAAAGGAGAATTAGAAAAGAGGAAAAGAAAGAAGAAAAGAAAAAGAAGAAAAAGGAAAAAAGAAGAAAAAGATAAGAAAGAAAAGAAAAAAGAAGAAGAAAAAAGAAGAAAAAAGGATAATTAGAAAAGAGGAAAAGAAAAAAGAAAAGAAAAAGAAGAAAAAGGAAAAAAGAAGAAAAAGAGAAGAAAGAAAAGAAAAAAGAAGAAGAATAAAAAAGAAGAAAAAGGAGAAAGAAGAAAAAAGGAGAATTAGGAAAGAGGAAAAGAAAAAAGAAAAGGAAAAGAAGAAAAAGGAAAAAATAAGAAAAAGAGAAGAGAAAAGAAAAAAGGAGAAGAAATGAAAAAGGAAAAAAGGTGAGAAAAAAGAAGAAATATATTTTATTATAAGAATTTGGTTCTCAAAAAGAAACACAAAAAATGTAAATAAATATTTAATATTCGGCCATATTTGATATTTGACTCATTCTTTTTGCATATTTTTTTTTCAAAAGTGAATTTTAGAAAGATCCAAGTAAGTCTCATCGTCCATTAGTATATATATTTTATTAAAAAAACAATTATTGTCATCAGAATCATTCACAGGATATAAAGAAGCATTTTTTGTTGTTTTTTTTAACGAAAATTAACATTCAGTTTATTATATTTTGGTAATGAAAAAGTTTGTGTATATTTTGTTTTATTGACACAGCTATTTCTCCTATATGTTTTGACAAAACTATAACTGTTCTGACATAGTTTCATTTCTTGTGTTGAAAACATCGAAATTGTTTGAATCAATTGAGTCACTAACTTCAGCAATACGAATCGGGGTCTCCATTCCTCGACTGGCTTCTTTTTCAATATAAAATCTCTGTCAACTTTTAGTCAGCGATCTTAATTACACACATTACTTCTGCAGGGGTTAAAGAAATAATAAGATTGAGAGACGTGCTCATATTCTAGCTGGGCCGCTTTGTGTTCACTTTGGTTCATTAACTTTGGGTAATGCCTGAATTCATGTATTTCTCATCTCTGGCTTAAATAGAAGGACTCTTGTTTGGCAATCACAGGAAGAGAAGAATCCTGAAGACATAGAAAAGATTGCAGGCATACTCACACATCAAAAAATGAATCACCGGGAATGAGAATAAATACGAAGCAGAAGTCACTAAAGCAGTCTGACGTCATATTCAACCTCGGCCTGTCAGTTTCTGTGACGACACTGGGCCATGTTCTGTTTAATTTTGACTCAGCTTTTGACCAGGGAAGTCTTGTTGCCTGTCTTTCAGACAACCTTATCCAGGACTACGCCTTTGAAAGCAGGCATATATCTATGGTCTCGAAAGACTGACGGATGTCTCGGAATATATTTGTAGTAGGATTAGGTAAGGTGAAATATGCACTTTCCTTTTCACTGGGTCAGCTAACGTCATTCAAACTGAACCAAAACCCACCAAAAACCAAACAGAAAATACGGATGTGACAGGTCAAATGAAGAAAAGACAAAAACCACGTGCGCAACAGAAGTGGGAGATTATTCGATATAGCAGTTTGTTATACTGGAACATACCTATTCTATTGTTAATAGACGCTCCCACATATAATCAGTAGTAGTAGTAGCAGTCGCGAAGGAGCTCAGTGAGTTGGTGAGTCAGTCGATGTCGGACATTAAAGTATCAACCACCACAACTAGATGGCTGCGTCATTAACTATTATAACAAGTTCCTAACGTTTTGTACGTCGAACTTAATTTAGGACCGACTTAGTGAAATACAAGCCTCCCCTGTGAAAACTACTCTATAACACAGTTCGATACGAGATAGTTGATAGATATTTAAATTTACTGATGAATCTTAATTTTTAACCCTTACGTTAATGATTGAATAAGCTCATGGCGAGTTCTATGACAATAAAATATCAGTAGAAATGTCCCTGTCACATTGTTAAATATTTTGGACTTAACAACAAAATATTGCAATAACAATCATAAATATGAATGCTGGTCGTTATTTCTAGAAGTAAGGGGGTACAAATAAAAGGATTTGAAATTGACAACTTTTTTCCATTTCACCGAAACAGACTTTTAAAGTGCTCAAATTCCACTATCTTTCTTTCTTTCATTTTCTCAAGGAAACCAACCAGCGTCTGTGATATGTGTTTTCCATCTTTTTTTCCACACGATCAAAACGGAATAGTCTATTATTTATGAGGGGTTGGCAGGACGTAACGGTCGTGTGAACCAATAGTAGGAAAAACAGAATTACGATAGGATATAAAAAAAACAAATATGCCATCGTTTTTTATAAATTATATTAACAGAAGATTCTAATGGGCATAAAATGTAGGATCACTTTTCTGTTGTTATTAAGTGTTAAACTGATCCGCTCCTAACCAGAATTACCACATATTAATAATTCGACAAGGGCACCTCGAGGTGATGTAATGGCAAGCAAGCTTGTCTTGCTAGAACAATTACTAGTGAGTTCAATCCTTATTGGGTGCCCATTAATTTCGGCCTTGTGCCGCATCCAAGCTATGCTTGGAAAATCACTATTAATAATTAGACAAATATATTTTCAAGACCTCCACATGAAAACCTAAAAACAGACCAGATTTGACAATATAGTAATAAATGAATATTATAATCGCAAAACATCGATATTATAAATACATAATGAATTATTTGTTAATGATTTTTATTTGAAAATTTAACAAAAGTTTGGAACCAGTTTCCAGACACCGTTTCTTTCTTTCTTTCTTTTTTCTTTTTTTCTTTCTTTATTTTTTTCTTTCTTTCCTTGTTTTTTTTTCTTTCTTTTTTTTTCTTTCTTTCTTTTTTCTTTCTTTCTTTTCTTTCTTTCTTTCATTCTTTCTTTTTTTCCTTCTTTCTTTCTTTCTTTCTTTCATTCTTTCTTTCTTTCATTCTTTCTTTTTTTTTCTTTTTTTCTTTTTCTTTTTTTGTTTAGGATATGCGATTTGAACGTTTTGATTCTTTTATTTACAATCAGAGCAGATTACAAATAAAAGAACCAAAATATTTTCACTTGCACACACACTCACCTTCACACAAACACACACACACACACACACACACACACACACACACACACACACACACACACACTTGCACACACACTCACCTTCACACACACACACACACACACACACACACACACACACACACACACACACACACACACACAACTTCATGAAGTACCTTCCATTTAATTCATTGTAGCCATTATATTTTAATTTTCGTCTCTATGACAGGGGTGGGCAAACCTTATTTTTCATGGATGTCCGCATCATTGTTGTCCCTGTGCAAAGTGGGCCGTTACACAATAATAACTTGCCTTTCACAGCGACAATATAAATAAATGACAATCATATATGCGCATATTATTTGTATATTTATTTTTCTTATTACATTTTGTGAACGGGCTGCACAAATGTATGAGCAATTAGTTTAATATTTAATATATTTGTTAATTTTAATGAGATATGTACATCTGAGAAAAATTGTTTCCAATACTAAGAAATATCTTGAAATATCTTCCAATTCTTGCAGATTTTAATGACATCCGTCTTTATGTCAGGACAAACTGTGTTGTTCATGGATGTGCGCATCATTGTTGACCCTGTGCAAAGTGGGCCGTTACACGATAGCAACTCGAGTTTTACAGCGACAATATAAATAATCATATATGCGCATATTATTTGTACATTTATTTTTCTTATTAAATTTTATGATCAGGTTGCACAAATTATGAGAAATTAGTTTAATATTTAATAAATTTGTTACTATTAATGAGATTTGTACATCTGAGAAAAAATATTTTACAATAATGGGAAATTCTCGATAAATCTCGTGAGACTAAAATGTCTCACGAGATTTATCAAAGCGTAGAAGTAGCATCCTATGTAGAGACAGGCACCTAAAATGTCTCACGAGATTTATCAAAGCGTAGAAATAGCATCCTATGTAGAGACAGGCACCTAGATCCCTGCGTCAGTTAAAACTGTGCCAATGATTGAGCATTGTTATCGCCAAAGGGTGGGACGCAGCGTTCCAGGTGCGCCTGTAGTGGTACATAACGTGTTATGCTGATTTTGTAGGATGTGAGTTTCCTGAGAACGGGTGGTGGTGGTGGTGGGGTCTGCTATTAATTATAAATGGTTTGCGCATTTGTTGTTAAAGACGACAAAGATGCAAATCATTGTCTTCCGAAAGCGGTCCCCACCCCGGGCCACGCCCGCTCGTGATCCGTCCGTGCCACGGCCGATCAACGCAACCATTCTCGCACCGTGGACATACGGCCCGTGGAGTTCGTTTGACTTAGTGTTCGAAGGTTGTATTTCCTTACGCAAAGAAAGTTTTTATATTTAATAGCGAACCTCGATTCTCAGAAAACTCATTTCCTGTCATGAATAGATTTCCATTATGTGTAACACGGAACAAAAAAAATAAAAAATAAATAAATAAAAGCGATATATAATGAATATTTAAGCAAATAACGTTTGCTGTGCTCTTGTGGGTTTCATAAAATCATCAGGCCACAGTTTGTGCCCCCCTTGTTTCAATTGATATAAAATGTGGGATTGGTTTTCTCCTGTTATTAGCTAACAAACTGATTCTTGCAGAAATGCCTACATATTAACATAACAATTATAAAAATAGATTTAAAGACTCATGTATGAAAGCCTAATAATAGAAAGGACTTAAAAAAATATACCAATCTTTATGACATTAAAAATCTAGTATTAATATAGTTTCATCGGTCATAAATTGGGGGATCGATTTTCTGTTGTTATTAAGTAATAAAATGATCCCCCTATTATTAGTTCGTTTCAATATAACAATTAAAAAAATAGAGTTAAAGATTCGCGTATGAGAACCTAATAATAGAAAGAACTTAAAAATATGCCTTCATTTTTTACGACATTGCTAATCTAGCGTTAATATAGTTTCATTGGTCATGAATTGGGGGATCGATTTTCTGTTGTTATTAAGTAATAAAATGATCCCCCTATTATTCATTTTTGTATAACTAGGAAAGTAAGTATTCTCAGAACCGGGGTCTGCTATTAAATATAAATGGTTTGCGTCTTTGCATGTCTCTTTCCGGTTTTGAATAGATTCCCGTTTCGTGTAATATGTCACCAAAAAAAAAAATAACAAAAAGATTAATGGCTATTTAAGGAATGTTTCTGCTGATCTTGCGGACTGCATAAATTCATCAGATGGGCCGTATTCGGACCCTGGGGTTATAGTTTGCCCAACCCTTCTCTATAGCTTAACTCTCTGCAATTTTCCAAGAATTTGTCGTAAAGATCCAATTTGCCTATTTATGTATATTTCTTGTAAGTCTTTAATTTCTAAATTATTTCATTAAATTTTTAAATTTTTTTTTAGCTAAAGTTGAGGGTTACGACAAGATTTCCATTCCCAGTTGGCATGCAATTCTCTGCCCGTAACCCCCAGAAAACCTTAACTGAGATCCTCAAAAATAAATAGATATTTTTTCTCCCAGTCTTTGAGAATATATTTCTTAAGATTCTTTTCCCTTCGTAATTCGTCACGCGGGAAATGTTTCGGTGGGTCTCTCTTCCACCCTGTCAGGTTGAATCTTTTCACGATGTATACCAATGGAATCCAAATAAGAATAAGGATGATGAGCATAGAGGCAATAAAGAGGCTCCAACCAGGCCATGGCATGTCAATTTTGGTAGCCTGAAGAAATAAAGGAACATGAATCAGGACAAGAAAAAGCCGTAAAACGTTCAACTAAACACAAAAAAGACACCCTCTTTTAGTGAAATGAAAGGCATAGTTTGATGACTACATTTATGGCAACAAGAAAAATATTATTTTTTTATAAGTTATTAAATTAATACGTACTAAAGAAAGCAAAATAACCTTCCTATAGTCATTATTACATTTTAATGGAGATAAAAAATCGCCGAAAAAATTAATAATGGTTGACAATGCTTCATCTAATAATAATAAAATTCAAGATAAAGTTACTATTAATAGTGATAGTTTAAATAAAGCAACTGAAATTACAATGAAAGATAGACTAGCTAAAAATTAATAATGGTTGACAATGCTTCATCTAATAATAATAAAATTCAAGATAAAGTTACTATTAATAGTGATAGTGTAAATAAAGCAACTGAAATTACAATGAAAGATAGACTAGATAAAAATTAATAATGGTTGACAATGCTTCATCCAATAATAATAAAATTCAAGATAAAGTTACTATTAATAGTGATAGTTTAAATAAAGCAACTGAAATTACAATGAAAGATAGACTAGCTAAAAATTAATAATGGTTGACAATGCTTCATCTAATAATAATAAAATTCAAGATAAAGTTACTATTAATAGTGATAGTGTAAATAAAGCAACTGAAATTACAATGAAAGATAGACTAGCTAAAAATTAATAATGGTTGACAATGCTTCATCTAATAATAATAAAATTCAAGATAATATTCCTACTAATACTATTAGAGTAAATAAAGCAAGTAAAATTAAGAAAAAATACATTTTCGTCAAATTCTCCAAATATTCACGCTATATTGTTTGTTTACTAATCTTGAAATTGATTTGACCTTTCAGAATATGTATTTTCACTATTACTTTTATTTATTTTTTTTACTGCGGATGAAAAATGAATTCAGTAAATACATAAAGATAGAAAGATGTTTAAGACAAGGATGTGTGAAGGCAAGGATACAGTGAAGCAATCCCGAGAGAACTAGTTCGCCTAGCAACATGTTTATTGGCGGAGACAATCTTAACCACAGGATATGCAAATGACACAGTACTGCTAGCAGACATAGAAAAGAAACTTCAGGAATTCCTGTCGAAAGAAGTAAAGGAAAGCGAGAAGAAAGGACTAACGATCAATTGTAAGAAGATAGAATGTATAGTTGTCAGCTAGAGGACCAGCCCAAGATGTAAACGACGAAATGAAGATATCATAATGAAACAAGTACGAGAATCTGGGAAGTGTTTTAAAAGAAGATAAAATGTGACACCGAAAACCGAATAGCGAAAGATGCCTCCCAAAAGCTAAGCAAAATATAAAGAAATAGGAAAAATTCATTAGAAACAAACAGCAGAATACTGAACCGTTATGCAATATCGGTCCTTCTATGTAATAAGGTACTTTTCTTGTTGAATTAATGGTCGAAAGGTTATATCCCTATAACATGTAAAAATGACTGGAATTCGAACTCGGCTCTCCGATTCCTCAATTCGCTATCCATTACCCCACCGTGCCTCCGTAGATGCTCTAGAATTTTATTAAAACCGTAAAGTGAGGGTTGGACAGCTGCAGTCCATATACGGAAGCAGTACTCCACTTTTATTATGATCTGGCTAGAGGGTGTCAGGAGGAGTCAGGTACTTCCTGGAGCGGTATAGGGAACCGGCCATCTTTCCCCGGATCGTACAAGGAACCGACCGTTTTTCCCACCATCTTCATGCTGCCGAGTTTTATTAAAATAACGTCGAAAACTCTTCGACCATTAAATCAACAGGAAAAGTACCTTCTCACAAGATTTGAACTAGCATCCAATACCTCAAGATTTTGCCTTTCCTGCATCACACCTTAACAAGTTCGGTCACAGAAATTTAAGACAAAGCTCAAGTTTGGATACTAACTGTTGCATAATTGAAAGATACCTCCTTATCCGCGGTTTTGCATTCTGTAATTGTTTTCACTATTATTTTCTGACTAGTTTTTTCTTTATTAAAACTTCAGGACTACTTAAATTGACTGGTCCGCTTGTAAAAAATATAGGGTATTTTTTTGTGTGGTGGGGTGGTAATATTTGTAGATTAATATTCAGTAAACCTTCCTGACATTTATTTACATTATTCAGACTATTGTCCTCATCTTTGTCGCCATATTTAGTACAACATTTCCGCCGTTGTACGCTCCGGCCTTCTTCAGGTGGTTGGAATGTCGAACTGAACCCTTTATTAGACTGTTCTAGTTTCACGTGCCATGTTTAATGGATGTCAGTTATCAGTGGAGAGGCAGTGGAGAACTTTCAGAGGGAAAAAAATTAACAGGAAATAACTGATAACTGACATCCATTAAACATGGCACGTGGAACTAGAACAGTCTAATAAAGGGTTCAATTCGACATTCCAACCACCTGAAGAAGGCCGGAGCGTACAACGGCCGAAACGTTGTGATAAGTATGGCGACAAAGATGAGGACAATTGTCCGAATAATGTAAATAATGTACATAATACCTCATCTCAAAAATATAGACAGATATTACTGACATTTGTTAGAATAGAAAAAAATATTGATTTTTTTTCATTTTAGAAGAGGGTCCTGTTAATAATATAAATACAGTGTCAAATCGATCCCTGAATTTTTAAAGTGCTATCTGTTCTTAGTTTTTATTTACAAATAACCTTAGTCCGGGTATGACGATAAACTCCATCCGACAGCAAGACCACTAATTGGGAGATTGGGGGTTTTTGAGGAGCATGAAACCACCTTTTAATTGCTGTTGTTCGAAGGTTCACCCTGGCCCGGGGTTGTAGCACCTGTTAGGGTCCCAGCTACAGGCAAATAGTAACCCCTCCGCAAACAAAAGCAAAATACCATGAAAGTATAAAAGCACATTTGTATAGTAAAATTACATACGATGCATATTTATAGCAAAATCACAGTACATTTTATAGTAGAATTATCAGCGTTTTATCTTTAGTTGAAGACATACAATTTCGTTCAAAGTATATTTATTTAGAGCTATAAAATTGTGATCAAAATATTTAAATTTCGGCATTAAATAAGCCGTAGAGGTTGGTATGCCGCCAGACTACCTGACCATTAATAAATAGGAAAAAATAAGCATCCGAAAGCTCAGCTTTCTTGCACGGCGCCTTAACCACTTAGGCCGGATAAACCGAAGACAGGTCTCAAGTCTTGTGTACTTACCGTTTCTTTGTCCCAGATTTCGTAAGTTAAACCTTGGATCATCATCTTCAGAATACTGGCAAACATAATAATAATAATCACCAACGGGGATATGTACTTCCACATAAACAGCCAGTAATAATTGGGTCTTGTTCCAACCATTAGTTCGACATCCTCTGCAAATCTGAAAGTGATTTCCAATAGAACATTTTCACTAATTTAAAATAAAAAAGGTAATCTTTAACTTTTGTGATGGCAAAACCCTCAAAAAACAACAAGAAAAAACAGTGTATCGAAAGGACGGTTTTACGCTTGACACCGCTATTATTTTAACTACATTCACTCCCTCGGCAATGATTCTTTTTTTTTTTTTTTTTTTTAAAAAAAGAAGCGATGATTAGAATTTTAATAAAACACAAATAGATGAAAGGGAATTTATACATTTTCTTTGTTCTCTGGGAATTTACGACAAAAATATCAAACACTATGTAGATTGTTTATTTACGAGAATAATTTTATATTTGCAAGATTCTAAAAATGCGAACAAACTAATACAATGTAATATTTATCATTTATTAATTTATAAAGAAATAAATATGAAAATTATTTTTTTATTCATAAATTTATAAAAAAAAATGTCCGTATACAAGAAAATTTAAATAAACAGATACAGACGAGTAAATGTAATTATAATTTAAAAAAGAAATCTTTTTTCGGGCATTCCTTTCATGCAGTAATTCGTTGGACATTTCGACGTGGTGCAATGTTTAGCAAGTTGGTCTTGTGAGATTGAATAGAGAGTTCAATCCTTGTTGGGTGCCAAATACTTTCGGCCTTCTGCCACATTAAAGCTACACTTAGAAAATTGTCATGCGGCAATTCATTAATATTTTTTACAAAATTATGAAAAAATATTGTTTTCATAATCATACTTATTATAAAACCCAGGTTGTGTGTGTGCGTGTGTGTGTGTGTGTTCGTGTTCGTTTATATATTGGACCAAATTTCCTACATTTTTCAACCGATTTCAACAAAACTTCACAGGACTACGTAAAATTACCTTGCGGTGGTTCTGACAGCGCCAAGAATTGGAAAAACACAATTGTTTTTGCACGAAATCAATTTGAAAACACAATTAATAGGCATCGCTGTCGCGAGAATGAAAGGAGGACAACTCATATCGAGTTATACTTATAAAACCCAGGTTGTTTGTTTGTGTGTGTGTGTGTTTGTGTGTGTATGTGTGTGTGTTCGTTTATATATGGGATCGGATTTCCTACATTTTTCAACCGATTTCAACAAAACTTCACTTTTATTGTCTTGCACACTTTTTTCTTTATTTTTACATTCAGAATGTTTTAACAATTCCATTTACAAGGCAATTGTTTATAATAAAATTCTATTCAATCGGTAGACTCATAACGATTGAAAACAACGTTTTTGTTTGAGTTTGAGTTTGACCAATTCGTAAAAAAAAAAAAAAAACAACAAAAAACAAAACAAAACAAAACAAAAAAACTAATTGAGACATGTGTGTCCGTCAACCTTAAACAATAATATTTGTCAATTTTATTTTTCAGTCTTTATGATGGTCGATACTTGAGCTATCACTTACTGTTACATCCCCGGGCAACGCTGAGCTCTACTGCTAGTAATTTATAAAATTGTAAATAATAAATATTGTATTGTAGATTGTTTACATATTTTGCTAATCTTGTAATTTATTATTCAATTTTTGAATAAAAAAGATTTCTATTCGCATTCATTTCTTTATAAAATGGTAAATAATAAATATAAATCTTTATAAAAGGCAAAAAATAAATATCGAATTGTACTTGTCCTGATGAGCATTATATTTTTCAATACCCTCCTTTTGGTCCTGTGCCACATTTCTAGTAAATTACCAGGAATAAATATATACTTCTCTCTTTCGTAACGCGACTTTCTGAATGTTTATAATCTTGTAAAAAAACCTTTGCCATGCGAGGGAAGAGGGAAAAACCGCCCTTCTCACTCACCGATTTTTTTTTCGTTGGACCAAAAAAAAAAAAAAAATAAATAAATAAAAAAAAATGGACAAATGATAACCCCATCATTTTATTTCTTAAATTCTTTCTCTGATAAATCTTATTTAAGAGAAGACTGTCTAACAACATTATAAGTTTACAATTCGTCCGTGCATTGACTATTGTTGCCACATATGGCGCTTTTGCAATAATGTTGTGGCCTGTTTAGGGGCCCGAAAGAAAGACACGGAAGACGAAGGTAGGTTGAAAAAAGTATATTGAAGATATATACAAAACAATAGTGTTAGTAATAAGTAGATTAGCACTGCGTCTACTACTCCACTTCACTCCATCCGACTCTCGTAGTTTGTATTTATGAGAGGAGGAAGAGTTCATTCTACTGTAGGAGGGTTTACCACAACAAAAACACCTAGAGATTTTGGATAAAATCCAAAGAAAAAAATCTGTTATTGATCCTGGCCTGACATCTCGGCATCAATCACTTTCTTGCACTTTCTCGCCACTGTAACATAGATTCCATGTACTTATTCTATAAATATCTTCATGGCATTTGTTCTGATGAGAATGGCACTTTCCACGTTCTTCCTTTTAGCCTTGTGCCGCATTTCCAGTAAATTAGAAGGAGTAAATATTGCTTTCCTCTTTCGTAACTCGACTTTCTGAATTCACGTCTCGTACTAGATTGGTGGTTAGGTCTCATGATTTTACCCTAAGTTTTATCTTGATAATTTCTTCTCTTACACTTCTCGTCTGTGGAACTCTTTTCCCGGCATTTTACTTTCCTGTCAATTGCAATCTACAAACATTTAAATACAACGTCAATCGCTATTTTCTGTCTTCTTAAATTTCTGTTGTTTTTATTGCTCTCCCTCCTTCTCTCTCTCTCTTCAGTAACGTTTCTTCAGATTGCATCACTCTTGACATATGTTTATATGGATTTTTGTACCTGTTTTGGTGTCAGGAACACGCCCCAAAGATTGTAAAAGTATTTTGATAAATCATATATATATATATATATATATATATATATATATATATTAATTTAAAGAAAAACAGACCACTTTAAGGTTCCATTAGTTATAATCCTTCTTGGGATTACCCATATGAATTACCAAGATTTTCGTTACTTTTATATATATATATATATATATATATATATATATATATATATATATATATATATATATATACTCCTGATCAAAAATTCATGACGACTTGAAATTTTTTAAAAAAGACTGTTTTTCATGGAAAAACTTTAAACATTTCTTACTTAAAGTTATTAATTTTATAATCTAAAATGTTATGCAGATAAAAAGTTATAATCCGAACATTTTATTGAGAAATTGACATTTTTATAAAATGAGGCATTTTACACTTGATCAAAATTATAAAACTAGTGGGTATAAATTGTTAGATCTAGGGTAATTCCAATGTTTTTAGTTCAGTTAGAGATTAGCAATCACTGCGTAAAGGTGTACCATGCCTAAAGCAAGCAACCTTACCGAAGTTGAGCGTGCTCGAATTCTAGGTTTCCATAATCAAGGTTTGTCTCAGCGGGCGATCGCAGCTAACGTAAATTGCAGTAAAACTGTGATTTGCAACTTTCTAAAGGACAGTGCGAATTATGGAAACGCAAAGTCTTCTGGCAGGCCCCAAAAGATTTCTCCGGCATTGAGTAGGAGAATAAGACGGGTTGTTATGAAAGCCAGTGGACTTTCTTCTAGTCAAATTAAGGCAGCCACAGATGCTGATAGCAGTCCAGTAACCATCAGACGACACTTACGACAAAAAGGCATGGTAAATAAAAAGCGCAAACAAATTCCTCGGCTGCTTCCACGTCACAAAGTGAACCGTTTAAGGTTTGGTCGTGAATACCAAACATGGGACATTGAGAAGTGGAAGAATGTCCTGTTTTCTGATGAGCAAAAACTTCAATCTTGATGGTCCTGATGTCTTCCAACGATATTAGCATAACAAAAATATGTCTCCTGAAATTTTCTCCACACGTCATAGTGGTGGAGGGTCCCTAATGGTATGGGGTGCCTTTTCTTACAGAGGGACGATGGAGCTCCAGGTGGGTGCAGGGTCGTCAGACAGCGGCTGGTTATGTTAGCATGCTACAAAAAGCATTGTTGGTGACGGAGGGCCATCGTTTGTGTCGGAATGGATGGTTATCCCAACAGGATAATGCTGAAATCCATGCTGCATGCCGGACCTTGACCTTTCTACAAGAAAATGGGTTCCATCTCTTGAGACATCCTGCATGCTCACCGAACTTGAACCCAATTGAAAATGTTTGGGGATGGATGGCAAGAGATGTTTATTGAAATGGCAAACAATATTCAACAAAAAATGAACTTCGTGAAGCTATCTTCAGAAGCTGGAGCAATATTCCTCGCAGCTTAATGGAAACACTAATTTCTAGCATGCCCCAAAGAATTTTTGAAGTCATCAAAACCAATGGAGGAAGAACTCATTATCAAATTTAGTTGTTGAATGTTTTCGTACACTTTTCGTACAATTTCGCAGAATTTTTGTGTCTGGTCTTATAATTTGATCAAGTGTAAAACGCCTCATTTTATAAAAATGTCAATTTCTTAACAAAATTCTCGAATTAGTAACCATAAGTAAGAAATGTTTAAAATTTTTCCATGAAAAACAGTCTTTTTAAAAAAAAATTTCAAGAGGTCTTAAATTTTGATCAGACGTATATATATATATATATATATATATATATATATATATATATATATATATATATATATATATATATATATATATATATATATAATAAAAGAAAAAAAAAACAGTGAATTGAGTCACTGTCGATCACTGGGCGTGTTTCTAAAAATAAATACGCTAAAAACCCAGATTAGTCCCTACCATGCGCCGACGGCTTAATAGTTAGAATCTCCGACTGACATCAATTCAGTCGGGTTTCGATCCTAACTAGAGGCAACCGGATGTCTAGCCACACTGATGAGCTGCGAAACAGTCTGCTGTGGATGACTTTATATATATATATATATGCGCGTGTGTATATGGAATTAATTTAATTCGACATTATTCTTTATTACACCACGATAGATAGATACATAAATATTACTTGTTATTTTTCGTGGTTATCCGTCTTTGAATAGAAGTATCGTTTTGTAAACAATATTACGTTTTCTGGCAGTGCTCTCGAGAAAATTTAAGACTGCCCCCCTAGAATCTACGTTACCACATCTGTCTTTCACGTATTTAAAAAAATCGGATAAGGAGAGGAAACTGTTATTCATATATATCTCTCTGAGGTGGCGTTGGGTTTCGAGGTGCTGAAGCCAGGGTTCGACACGGATCGCCACACTCATCAGTCCTAAAACTCAAAGTTGACATCGATATGTAAAAAGTTTGAAAATCAATAGTCGATGTCCCGCATAACGTTTTACATGTACCTGCGTTGAAAAGAAGAAAAAGAAAAAAAAGAAAAAGAAAAGAAAAAAGGCAAAAAAGGAACACAGAAGAAAATGAAAAAAGAAAAAAAGAAGAAAAGAAAAAGGGAAGAAAGAAAAAAGGAAAAAGGAAGAAAAGAAAAAAGGAAAAAGGAAAAAGAAAAAGAAAAATGAAAAAGAAAAAGAAAACAAAGAAAAAAGGAAAAAGGGAAAAAAGAAGAAAGGAATACAGGGAAAAAAGGAAAAAGAAAGAAAAGCGAAAAGGAAAAAAGGAATAAAGAAGAAAAGAAAAGAAAAAAGGCAAAAAAGGAAAAGGAATACAGTAGAAAATGAAAAAAGAAAAAAGAAAAAAAGAAAAAGGGAAGAAAGAAAAAAGGAAAAAGGGAGAAAAGAAAAAAGGAAAAAAGGAAAAAGGAAAAAGAAAAAATGAAAAAGAAAACAAAGAAAAAAGGAAAAAAGAAGAAAGGAATACAGAAGAAAAATGAAAAAAGAAAAAAGAAGAAAAGAAAAAAGGAAAAAGAAAGAAAAGCAAAAAGGAAAAAAGGAATAAAGAAGAAAAGAAGAAAAGAAAAAAAAGAAAAAAGAAGAAATGAAAAGGGAAGAAAGAAAAAGGAAAAAGAAAGAAAAAAAAGAAAAAGAAAGAAAGAAAAAAGGAAAAAGGAAAAAGAAAAAAGAAAAAAGAAAAAGTAAAAAGAAAAAAGGAAAAAAGAAGCGAGCCATAAAATTTAATGTACATAAAAGATAAAGGTTTAATAAATTTGTGTTAAATCGACTTACTTGTTTAGGCCGTAAATGTATGATACCGAAATAATTTCAAAGAGTGCTATAACCAGCAACGGGAAACCGCCCGTAAATTCATCAAACAACAAGAATGTGTAGCTGCCAGACTGATTAGCGAATGCGAACGAGATCAGAAAGGATGTCAGACAAAGTACAGCTGTAATAGAAAAGAGTTTTCTTCATTTTACTGAGACAGACGGATTGTTGCAGAGAGCATTTTAAATGAATCGAAATTTAACCGAATTTAAATTTACTATCGAATACCCGTCCGGCTGATACAAGTCCAAAGAGAAATTCTGTTACATTTATTTCGTATAGTGATTTTCCAAGTGTAGCTCAGACGAGGCACTAGGCCGAAAGTATGGGGCATCCAGTGAGGATCGAACTCACTTGTAATTGTTCTAGCGAGACAAGCTTGCGAACTATTACAGCACCTCGAGGTGCCCACATTTGTTCCGTATAAGAACATTTTCAGCAAGACATCTATTTTCTAAAGTTCCTTTTGTCATTAAGCTAATTCTATTTGAAGCTTTGAGGAATTCATTGTCATAAGGAGAGAAAATTGGTGAAATACAAACCTCCAGCGCGATGATTGGGCTATTTTTGACTAGCAGCATGGCCCGGCGTTGCCCGGGCTTGATTCAAAAATCGTACGATTCATACAGCAATCGCTATCACTTGACTTAAAATATTTTTGCCCTTTCTTGCCTTTAAAGGAGTGCCCTTTGCCGTGCTGATGTTGCTACATGCCTTACTTCTTGCCTATCTCACACTGCGAATTTTTTCTAAGCTCTCTACTAAACATTAAATCTGTTACAAAAAAAGAACTAAACAAAATGAACACAAAACGATCAGCTTTAAAAAAGGACTCGTAACTGGAAAAACCGAATGAAAAAAGAATGTTAACAACAAATACTTTTTCACAACCAACCCAGTTCTGCGGAATCAGAATCAACATTGAGTCTAAGCAAGCGAATGAGCCAATTGGAGTAAAGTGCCATGCAGATTTAAATTTTTCCCACTTGTGATGAATACAGCTATCGATTTTTTTTGCATGCTAGTTAACATTCGTGTCCGTCAGCTGTTGGCTCTCACGCTGGCCAATAGAATATTTTTGCCTATTCGTGGCAGCCAGCTATTGGCTCTCACTCTGGCCAGTAGAAAATGGCCGCAAACAACATAAAAACTGCCGTAGAAGCATGAAAAAATCGATTATTTCCACTATCGATGGGAGTTGGGAAATGCAAAGTCGGTCTTGGTCTTCCCGCTAACTTGGAGCATGTGCATGTAAATTTGGGTGCAAATCCGTCGAAAATTGCGGCCGTGCATTCGTTACACACACACACACACACACACACACACACACACACACACATACTGCCTTTTATAGATAGAGATCTGGTCACACACACATTAAAAAAAAAATTAAAAATTAAAATTAAAAAAAAAACTTCTGCCTTATCTCCCCGCTGCGGTTATGGGCGAGTAAATATCATGTTAAGGATGTCGGTTGTTTTATTGATGTATGTGTAGCGTTGCAGCTCAGACCTGGTCCCAGGTTCGTTCGCAGGATGCAGCTTCTTCCAGTCGAACGCTTATAGTCTTAATACACAGAAAATAATTCTTTGGCCACGTCGTTACTTAAGAAAAGAACCATATGACGAAATTGAAGCAATCGCCATATTTTATTAAGTTGTAACCTTCTTGTAAGGGCCGGCTGTAGACGCGTGAGGAAGAGTGATTTGGGGTGAGGAGATGAACGGTCTAACCCAGCGTTCCTCAGTCGGGATTCCCCGGAACCCTAAGGTTCCGCAAAAGGTCTCCAAGGATTCCGCGAGGACAGGTGAGATAAGCTAATGCACTTTTATCTTTTTATTTAATTTCATATACATAATATTACTATACAAACACAATATATTGTTGGTTATTGTAATATTGTAATATAGACATCATCCTGTCTAACCTATTATATTAGGAAAACTCCTCGATAAAGTATTAAAAACGAACAGTATGAATTTTATTCAGCATTACCGAAAAATTTGACAAAGAAGTATTAATTTTTCCTTAAACCAGTTATTCAAAAATATATACTATGATATTTACCACGTGAACTACGACGAAAATAAAATGAGAAAAATATGGTATATAATTTTGTTTTTGCGCTGGGGTTCCTTGAGACATGTAATTTATTTTAAGAGTTACGCAAAGGTAAAAAGGTAGAGAAAACGCTGGTCTAACCGGTATGTGCCTTACTTTTCACATTGCGGGTGAACGCTCTCCAGTCTTAGGCCGATAAGGATCACTGTCTTATAGAGAACAAGCGTTCTTTGTCCTCTCAGCTTTTGTCTAAAAAAGTAATTCATCAAGTCCGCTCCACGCAGCTGACCTTTTTTGTCAAGGTCGTTTGATCTAGTTCTTGTAAGGTCCGCTTCACTCAGCTGACCTTTGTCAAGACGATAATTGTCAAAACGATTTCTTTAACATCCTTCAGATCTCACCTTAATAAGATATCAGCTGACAACTGATATCTTTATATCGGCTCGTGGACACACCGAAATATGATTTAGCCTTACGCTAATTTAAAACAGTCCAACCCTCTTCCTAATTTATATAAATGATCTGCCTAAGAGTATACTCCGATCATTTGTAAATATCTACGATACAACGGTATATGGGCTCACCTCCAAAACCGTCTATGACAAACGCTTGGCAGCTGATCTTTTCTCTTACCAAGCTTTAACATCTTAGTGGGGTAATACATTCTATCCTATCGCGATGAGCGGGTGTTCTCTCGGAAAGGCTCCGTGACTTGAGCGCCTATTGGGACTTAAACTCAACCCAGACCTCAAGTGGAAATCGTACACACGATCCATCGCTAAAGATAGTGGGAAAATGGCTGGTACTCTCTACTGCTCCATTTTCCTCATCCTACTGCTCTCTACGAGCCAGATAAGGCCGAGAATATAGTGCTGCTGTCATACATGGGTAGGAGCTGTCCAGACTTCACTTTTCAGAGTGCGTTTTTTCGAGTGATGAATTATTTTGCACACTACAGTCATTTTCCCACAGACGAAATATCACAAGCCACTCGCTGCTCTATCGCTAATTTCTTCCAAAGTAGTAAATTTTTTTACAAGTGTCCTTTCTTTTCCAAATATTATGGGCGTCATCTTTAAATCTTGCTTCAAATTGTCAATCCCTCTGAATCAAACTAGTTACATTTTATCATGCCCGATCAGACCCAGAACTATCACAAATCACGATGAATGGATATTCGCCCGGGGAGGCTCATTGCCTTAAGCGCCTATTTGGACTTAAACTCAACCCATACCTCAAGTGGAACTCGTACATACGATCCGTCGCTAAAGAAACTGGGAAAATGGCCGGTGCCTGTACCGCTCAAGCAAGTGCCTAACTCCTCATACTATCCCCTACCGTTACAAGAGCCAGGTCAGACCGGAAATGGAATTACTGCTGCTATATGAGGGGCAGGAGTTGCTAATACCTGTGAATAGCCATAAAGTTACAAACCCTCGATAACCAGAGCTTGGCAGCTGATCTCTCCTCTGACCTAACCTGTGTAGTTCATGGGGTAAAGATCTGGCTGCTCACATTCAATGCCTCAAAGACCAAACTAGTGAACTTCCCAAATCACCGATCAGACCCAGAACTTTCACTAATCGCTATGTTCACACGAGGAAGCCTTATGTCGTGAGCGCCTATTGGGACTTAAAGTCAACCCAGACCTCAAGAGGAACTCGTACATACGATCCGTCGCTAAAGATACTGGGAAAATGGTCGGTGCCCTGGAGCGCTCCAGTACATAACTGACTCCTCGTGCTATCATCTTCCTTTACAAGAGACATCAGACCGAAAATTGAGTACTGCCCAATCTTTGCTTTCCACTCCCAATAGAGTCCAAAAGCGTACTTATGGGTGATGAATTATTTCCCACCCTACAACCTCTTTCCTCACAGACAAAATTTCGCGAGCCTCTCATTTCTTTATTGCTATTTCCATAGAAAATGCTCAGATGAAGTATATTCCTTTTGATCCATTCTCTTACCAAAATTAGTGGGAGGAAGAAACATTCAATGTCTCGAAAACCAAACTAGTGACGTCCCATCATCACCGAGAGGAATGCTGTCCTATTGCGATGGGCGGGTGTTCTCTTAGGGAAACTCCGTGCAACGAGCCCCTATTGGGACTTAAACTCAACCCAGGCCTGGGAAAATGGTCGGTTCCCTGTAGCGCTCAAGCAAGTACCTAACTCCTCATACTATCCTCTACCGTTACAAGAGCCAGGTCAGACCGGAAAGGGAATTACTGCTGCTATATATGAGCAGGAGTCGCCCAGCCTTCACTTTCCAGTTTCGATAGAGTCCAAAAGCGACTCCGCGTCCTTGTGGATGATGAATTGTCTTCCACGCTATAACCACTTTCCCACAGATGAAACGTGACAAGCCTCTCGCTGCACTATCGCTGTTTCTATGGTAAGTGTCCAGACGAACTACAGTCTTTAGTTCCACCAGTTCTAACCTTCACGGCTAAGTCCCACCATGCCACACACATCGTAACGTAATATAGAAACGACTCCCAAGAGGATGCTTTCCCGATCACTACAATCTTAACCTGGTCAAGTCTAAGCTCAATCGTTATCTTCCCCACATATCTCCATAAACTGTGCTTCTTACTTTGTAATCTTCTACCTTGAAGGTTTCTTGGGCCTTGTATAGGGTGAACGTCATTGTAAAAAAAAAAGAAAAACAATGTTCAGGTGAATTATATTCCTTAGTTCCACCAGTTCTAATCTTCACGGTTAAGATCCGCCATGACACGAAAATTGTAACGAAACACCCTCATTTATTGTGTATTCAATTGGGGAGATGTATGGTTCAGTCGAGCACCTTCTTTCAAGGAACCGCTGCTTTGTGGAAACTGACTCCCAGGTGGATATTTCCTCGATCAGGACAATCTCAACCTGTCCATGCCTATGGTTAACCATTATTTTTCTGGATAATCTGTGCCGCTTACTAAGTAACCTTCTACCTCGTGTGGCTCTTGGGCCTTCTAGAGGGTAAACAGCATTAGCATTGTAAAATAAATAAATAAAAACTAAGGCGATGATTACTCACCAGGCACGAAGAATTTTTTCTTTTTCAGATCTGGGAATCTGCCTGAATCCATGATGCATGTTGTCACACATTCGAGCGACCCAAACATGGAATCGAGGCCTAAAGTGATCAGCATGAGAAAAAAAAGAATCGCCCAGACTGGGGGCGCCGGAAATTGGTTTATGGCTTCCGTGAAAGCAATGAACGCCAAGCCGGGGCCCGAAGCCGTCTGCAATTAAGGAAGAGAAATGCATATAACAGAGAAAACGCAGATAGGAAAACAGAATATTTGTTTCTAGTAACAATAAAATGTGTTTAATCACAATGGTTTTGTTTGTTTGTTTGTTTGTTTGTGTTTATGTATAGCAGCATATCAACACCTCTATGGGTTATTTAATGTCGAAATCTAAATATGAAAATTCAAGCTTTATAATTCATTTAAGAGAATGACATTATTTCATGATTAAATTATGATTACTTAGCTGTATGTATTTTTACCCAATTATCTTACAAAATCAAACGAGAAATGAAAACTTGTTTTTCCTTAGAAGAAACGGGATTATTCATAGCAAATTGTTTTTATTTATTCACAATGCATGCCATATAAAATGTATTCATTGCTATAAAATGAATGTAGTTAGTCATTTTACTATAAAATGTATTGTTGATTAATTATTATATAAATTGTGGTAATTTTACTATAAAAATGTATTGTTGGCCATTTTACTATAAAAATGTATTGTTGGTCATTTTACTATAAAATGTATTGTTGGTCATTTTATTATATAAATGTATTGTTGGTCATTTTATCATAAAAATGTATTTTTGGTCATTTTATTATAAACATGTATTGTTGGTTATTTTATTATAAAATATATTGTTAGTCATTTTACCATGAAAATGTATTTTTGGCCATTTTATTATAAAAATATATTGTTGGTCATTTTACTATAAAACTTTATTGTTGCTCATTTTATTATAAAAATGTATTGGTTATTTTACTATAAAAATGCATTGTTGGTCATTTTACTATAAAAATGTATTGTTGGTCATTTTACTATAAAATTATTTGCTATAAAATATATTTTTTGGTCATTTTACTATAAAAATGTATTGTTGGTCATTTTATTATAAAAAATATATTTTTGGTAATTTTATTATAAAAATGTATTGTTGGTCATTTTAATATAAAAATGTATTGTTGGTCATTTTATTATAAAAATATATTTTTGGTCATTTTACTATAAAAATGTATTGTTGGTCATTTTACTATAAAAATGTATTGTTGGTCATTTTATTATAAAAATGTTTTGTTGGTCATTTTACTATAAAAATGTATTGTTGGTCATTTTGCTATAAAAATGTATTGTTGGTCATTTTTTTAAGAAATATGTATTGTTGGTCATTTTACTATAAAATGTACTGCTGGTAATTTTACTATAAAAATGTAAGATCCTATAACACTTCATTTAAAAATTTTATTTGTTTAGCAAAATATTAATTTTTAGAGAAAGTGTATCTCTACTCGGACTTCCTAAGATTGACCTTAGAGTTCAGATGGAAGACAAAATAAGGAAGTCAATTTTGACTGGCTGAGCCAGCGTGGGAATGACTGATATAGTGAAAGCGGTTTCAGTGAGTTGTTTTTCAACCGTCAAACAATGTAGACGTGTTTTCTTTCGTGTCTGAAATAGCTCCACAGTAGAGGAGAAATGACTCCCCCCACTGGATAGAAAGAAGATGTCGACATGAGCGTTAATCAAATAAAGTTAAAATTCCCTGTGTTGAACTTCTTTTATCTCTGGACACAAAACAACAAATGAATTGACGCTGTCACCCAAGAACTCCTCAGCACGGGGGGACTATAGAACAATATTCTTTTACACTCAATAACCACTTGCGTAATATGAGCTGTATTGCCTTGCTAGGGATGAAATTATATAAAAAGAAGAAGATGAATAACGTAATGGTATTGTTCAAAATCGTTTCGCAGTATATGTATATATGTTCTTTGTTTGCATTTTTCTCTCGCTCACTTTCATTATCTATCTCAGTCAGTTGATTATCTCTCTTTCTTTCTGTTTATGTTCGTATATATCTAACTCGCTCACGCACTATATATCTATGTGACGACGGTCGTCCGTCACTGCACAACCTGATGACATTCAAAGTCGGTTGTATGCGTATACACCCGGCTATGTGCACAGGCTTGTCTACTCGATTGGAATCGAATTCACAAAGATTATTAAAAAATGAAAAAAAGAAAAAACAAAAACATCCTTACCGATTCGAGTTCCTCCTGCAGATTGCAAGTAATGTTTCTGCCTGTCTCAATGTTCGTTTGTAAACATGATTCATAGCTGACTGAGGCTTTGAAACCTGGTAAATATAAAAAGAAGCCTCATTTTATTAACAAGACACGATTACGTCAATAAATGTTTTGTTATGATCGGCACTGTTTTTTCTTTTCATTTTTTTTTCTTTCACACGTTTGTATAACACGCAAGCTATGTGGGGCGAGTCGTTATATATATATATATATATATATATATATATATATATATATATATATATATATATATATATATATATAATCAACCTATATTTACCGGCCTGAATGTTCGAGAAATTTCGTAGAAAATACGTGCTTCTCGAAAAATTCAGACCGTAAATTTAATTAATACTGTTTAATTAAAGAATAGACATAACTTAAATAGAACTTTACTTAAATAAATTATATATATTTAAATAATTATTGAATTAATCCATTTCACAATATATATATATATATATATATATATATATATATATATATATATATATATATATATGTGTGTGTGTGTGTGTGTGTGTGTGTGTGTGAAAAGTGTGTGTATATAAATATAATATATATATATATATATATATATATATATATATATATATATATATATTTATATATTATATGCTCGGTACTTATTAGAAAGCGCTCAATATCAGAGATAGAGCTAACATAAATGCGTATGTATAGACACAACGCCACCCATATACATACATATGTCAAATCCGAAACTGTCCACATATGTTTATATCTGTATGAGTCCCGACGGACAAAGAAGTGTGTATGTGTGTCTGCGTAGCTCATCTGATGTACGGACATGCATCTATGCTTGCGTCAGCACGATCACATCACGATGACGATTCCCTCCACTTCCATAATAACACCAATACACGCAATCTACATAAACCCAAATTTTAAAAAAATTAATCAGTTTGTCTGACGATTGCAAAAGCGTGAAACCCAGGGTCACAAACTCACATCAATTCAACCAAATATATATATATATATATATATATATATAAATAAATATATATATATATATATAAATATATATATATATATATATATATGTGAGTAGGCGTGTGTATGTGTATATATGCATATATACGTAGATACCTGTATATATATATATATATATATATATATAAATTCATTCATATGTGTATATATATATATATATACAATACACGTGCAATCAATTTACAAATACATGAATTATTCACACAAAACTAATGCAAAGGTTAACCTTTGCATTAGTTTTGTGTGAATAATTCATGTATTTGTAAATTGATTGCACGTTTATTGTAATTTAAATAACTGATCCATGTGCGACTTTTTGGTTAATAAGTGCGACATTACTGTAATTATTGAACAATATAGTTCATGCCACTTCGACAGTAAAATTTACCAGTAAAATAATTTGTTCATTACCATATTTGGTATAAACGCAAACACACTTTAAAAAAAAATTCAAAAATCAAACTTAGCGTTGCTTTGGCGCGTTCAAAACCAATATCTCATTTTCAATATAGCATTTCGGATACAATACACATATATTTTCGATGTCCTCTTATTACTAAGAGAAAAAAAAAAACAACATCTATTATATACCTGAAGATGTCTGTAGGAACAGACGAAAGCTTGTGTAAAATAACAACTAATACGGCAGAAATTTATATGAACAAGGATCAATTCATTCATAACGGATCTGAGGTTTTTTTTGTGTACTATTTGAATTGTTTGCGAGATGTATGTCTCGCCATTTAAAATCATTAACCTTTGCATTAGTTTTGTGTGAATATATATATATATATATATATATATATATATATATATATATATATATATATATATATGTGTGTGTGTGTGTGTCTGTGTGTGTGTGTGTGTAAATGTATGCATGCATGTTCAATTAATAGAGACAAAAAACTACTCCAGAGAAAATAAATTAGGTTTTACCAATATGGAAAAAGATACTACCACAGTGAAAATAAGTTTGGTTTAACTGCTATATAAAGAAAAACTATTATAGGGAAAATATCTTAGTTTTAACTAATATAGAGAAAATAACTTCGACTAACCTAATATAGAGAATATCACAATTCCTGCAAAGATCGAAGTGCCGCAGTTGATAAATACTACAGTATAGGCATCTTTGAGACAGTTATTGTTTACAGGATTGTACGAAGACATGGCCATGAGTCCACCAAAGGCCAATCCGAGAGAATAAAAAATCTGATTGGCTGCTTCTAGCCACACCTGTGGGTCGGCCAGACGATCAAACTACAAAGAAAGAAAAGAAAATACATATAAATACAGATTAAATGTCAAATCATTTTGAAATCGATTGGTTTGTATTAAAAGACTGTGCCTATAGTATATAGATTATTATAAAACCCAGGTTGTGTGTGTGTGTGTATGTGTGTGTTCGTTTATATATTGGATCGGATTTCCTACATTTTTCAATCGATTTCAACAAAACTTCACAGGACTACGTAAAATTACCTTGCGGTGGCTCTGACAGCGCCAAAAATTGGAAAAACACAATTGTTTTTGCACGAAATCTATTTGTAAACACGATTAAGAGGCATCGCGAGAATGAAAGGGGACAACTCATATCGAGTTATACTTATTATTAAAATATTAATATACTTATTATAAAACCCAGGTTGTTTGTGTGTGTGTTCGTTTATATATTCACTTTTTTGGCAGGTAGTGTTTCTTATTGTCTTGCACACTTTTTTCTTTATTTTTACATTCAGAATGCTTTAAAAATTCCATTTACAAGACAATTGTTTATAATAAAATTTTATTCAATCAGTAGACTAATAATGATTGAAAACAATGTTTTTGTTTGAGTTTGGGTTTGACCAATTCGTAAAAAAAACAAAAAAAACTAATTAAGACATGTGTGTCCGTCAACCTTAAACAATAATATTTGTCAATTTTATTTTTCAGTCTTTATGATGGTCGATACTTGATCTATCTTTTACTGTTACATCCCCGGGCAACGCCGGGCTCTACTGCTAGTATAGACTATATCCACATGAGGTAATTTTAGATTTTTTGTTCTATAAAATATATGCTCTGTTATAGTAAATATATTGAGCTCTCTCTGTCGATCAGTTTTAATGTCTGATATTACTAGGATCCACCTGCATTATATACCAATGGATCTATTACCTGTACCACACACACACACACACACACACACACACACACACACACATATATATATATATATATATATATATATATATATATATATATATATATATGATAAATTATAGGTTTATGGTATGATATATTTATGGGTTAAAGTGCTAAACAACAACGATAGAGCACATTTAAATATAAATCTGGACATTGAAGTCAACATCCAGAGGCGACAGTCTGTTTCAGGCGAAATACAATCGTCATACCATGTGCGCTTGTATTTCTACTCGACTATTTATATATACAGGTCAGTGATGCATTGTGTGTAGTCTATAGTATTGCCTTATGGGTAGTCTTATTATTCTAACGGTTGTTTTGGTCGGCGTAAACGGTTGTGTTTCGAATTATTCTAGAAGCTATTGAGTGGAAATAATTGTGGACCCGAATGCAGTTTTTTTTAGCTCTTCATAGTCTTGCTGGTTAGCTTTTTTTAATTGTTGGTTGCTATTACTACGTTTTCTTGCGTTTATCTATGCGCACGTGGTTTGTTAATTATTTACTTAGTTTATTTATTTATTTGTTTGGATTAATATATATATATATATATATATATATAAATAAAAAGAAAGAACAGTAAGATATATAATCCGTTCTTATAGATATTTTTATTTTTACAAAATAGTGCTCAATGTAAATTTACTTAGCATTAATATTATAAATTAATTGATTTAAAATATGTTTTTTTTTTCCGCTACACTGTTCTAACCATAGTTCAAAAATGGAAATTACTCCAAAATTCGCTTGAGGATGAAATGGAATTAATGTCTTTAATTTAATTACAAAATTAAATTCGAGCTTTCAGCTTCCATTTTTGAAACATGGTTAGAACTGTGTAGCGAAAAAAAAACATATTTTAAATCAATTAATTTGTATATATATATATATATATATATATATATATATATATATATATATATATATATAGGTGGTTCAAAAGTAAGTATTCTGTTGTTTAATTATTCATATATTGATATGAATTTTTATTTTTTACAGTCGAGAAAAAGAAAATGGATTATAAAGCAGTAGTTGATGATTGAAAATGCCGATCACGTACGCAAAACGTAGATAAGGGCATTTGACTCTGATCCACCAAGATAGCTCACAATTTATCGTATAAAAAGATAGATTTGAAAAAACAAACGGTTCAGTGGTTAAGGCATGGTTAAAGGAGGACATTTCCAGCGCTTGCAGATTAAACAATATTAAACAAATATAATTTAATAATTGTAAATATATAATTTAATTGATATAATTTAATAATTGTAAATATAATAAAACACACATTCTGTTAAATGTATGTATGCCTATATAATAGTAATAATAGCTGCCCACTTGTATTCGAGGATACCCGTTTACTATAGTGGCTAACCAATCCCTATTGCAGACGGTCGCTCAGGCATATCTGTGCTTGCTCAACACCCACAGAGCCTACCTGTGATTTATACTGCAACTATGCTGAACAGACCTTAGTTACAGTTTCTGGGACAGAGCCTGTTATCTAGCCTGAACAACAATTTGAACAAAGCCAGCTCCCTCAAGCTCTCGGCCACGACGACTTCAAGATTTCCGTCTACCCAATTTCACTTTTTAAAAGACTTGGGTCAACCCGTGATATGATTTTCAGGCACTTTTCAAAGGTGCCGCACGCTGAGATTGACCTCGACCCATTCCGATAACATCTGCTTCCTGACATGGCGAAATTCGAATACGGGTCTCCTAGTCAGAAAGCGAACGTTCTTACCACTCGGCCACGCGCCCATATACACCTTGCATATATAGGATTAATGCAAATAAGATTTGTCATTTAGCTGATTGCTGTTATGTTATTTTGTTATTAGACGAAGCCTTTTTGTAATTGTTCACTCCACTCGTCGGCAGGCTTCCGCAATATATATATATATATATATATATATATATATATTTGGTTGGATAGATGTGAGTTTGTGACTCTGGGTTTCACGCTTTAGCGATCGTCAGACAAACTGATTAATGTTTTAAAAAATTTGGGTTTATGTAGATTGCGTGTATTGGTGTTATTGTGGAAGTGGTGGGGGAAATTTCGTCGTTTTGTCATTCATCGTACTAACGCAAACATCGATATATGCAGACACATATACATACTTGGTCGTCTGTCGGGACTCATACATATATAAACGTATGTGGGCAGTTTCGGCTATGACACATGTATGTATTTGTGGTTGAATGATTAACAGCACGTCAAATAGTACAGTGTAACCCAGATATAAGAGAGTTGTCGGGACCGGAGAAGAGGTCTCTTAAATCCGGGTTTCTCTTATATCCGGGTTTGGTCTATTTTGTTTTGGTAAGTATGGGGACATTTTGGGACCAGATAAAATCTCTCTTATATCCAGGTTTCTCTTATATCCGGGTCTTTTATATCCGGGTTACACTGTAGTTCCCTTTGGGGTTACCGGTTCGACATCTATTGGAAATGCATCAACGAAATTTCTCGAACATTCAGGCCAGTAAATGTAATTAATACCGTTAATTAAAAAAAATAGAGCATTTACATAGATTGTATCTATTAAAATAACTTATAAACAGTACATATATTAAATAATTGTCGTGCTTAATCCATTTCATAATATATATTATGTATTTGAACAGCAATCCCCTTTTTTAATCAAATATCATTAAAAACGACTGACAAGGTACTGCGGTTAAGTTTTTTTTTATTTAATTTTTCTTCTGTTCTTATAATTTTCTTTATTTCTGGACATAAATTATATGGAAATTGTCCGAATGTTCTCTATGTTCGAGCGCTTTCGGCTTTACTTTTAGCCATTATCAAGGATGACTTTATTTTTACTTTTAACTGAATGTATGGATTGTTTTATGTTATTCACTTAGAGTTATAGGAATTTTTTTATTTTCCAAACACGGTCAGCACATTGTGGCCATGTTCATATTTGATGTTATTGAGTGTTGTTTTTTTTTTTTTTTTTTTTTTTATAAATAATGCTTTCATTATTTTTAGCTTTTTTTTTTTTTTTTACATGTGTATGATTATATTTGTATTATCAACGAGTATGTTGGGGATGGAGCTTGCTAGGTTTTGATGTGTATTAAAATTATACCTCAGTTAAGTCTCATTTATAACATGGAGACCTACCAAATTTTATCCGCAACACACACACACACACACACATATATATATATATATATATATATATATATATATATATATATATATATACACACATATAGCCCATGACTATATTCGTATGTGTAAGGGATCTTATCTTTGAACATTTGAGATTCCTAAATTAATCATTGCGTCATTGAGTATGTGTTATATACCGTAACTATGAACACTAATGGGCATGTCCCAATCCTCATAAATACGTTACACAGTATTGTTAGTGAGGGTAATATGCTGTCCAAGTAGTCCACCATTAGCAGTGGTTTACCTACTTCACGCCGCTGGCGAGTATTGTATTTTGTTGAGGTTATAATGATTACCATTTAATTTACAATCTTCGATTTGGTTATTCCTCATTCAGTAATCTTTTCTAGGTTACAACATTATTCTATATAAACATTTATGTTACCCTTATTAATTCTTTATCTTTGTTTGCTTTTTATCATTGCATAAGGCCACATTGATATATGGTGGTGTACGGCGCTGCCATAATGTAAGTTCGCTGCCTACCTTTGGCCGCCTAACAGGGACCAAAACGCGCGCAGTGGGAGAATGGACTTTACGGTGAGCTTCTTTCTCTACGCTATCGCGTAGATAAATGCAGAGATGAAGAGAAACTGACTTACCTTTGGTAAAAACATATGGACCAATCCGACATGGAAATTTTTCAGAGTCACCCCACGGAAGAAAAAGATGACTAAAACAATGTAAGGAAATGTTGCTGTGAAATAAACAACCTGAAAACAAAGAGCAATAAAGATTCAGATAAATTTTGATGTCGAAAGAAATTCGAGAATGAATTATCATTATTTATTGCTATTATCACAAAGTTTCGCTCATTGACTCCTCCCCGCCTTCATCAGGTCCTTGTTGAACCGGATAACGTTTAGGGATTTTCAAACACAACCCTTTATTTAATTTACAGTGGGTAGATTGTTCTTATTTCGCTGACCATGACGAGAAATGACAGTAAGGTCCCGATAAGAAGCAGTAAGAAAAAGAGAAGACTCGGTGCATGTAGTCAGGCATAAGAAGAAACAGAAGCATACTCATCAGTAGGCAGATTAGGTTTAAGAGTACAAAAGCTACACTCAGGATTGTCCCACGGGATAACAGCCTAGTGGATTAAAGCGTTGACATTTGGAAACATATATTGTGAGTTCAATCCTTGGGTTGAACAGTGCAATTTTAGGCTCAGTGGAAACAAGGCGAGCAATAACTGAGCAGTGCTAAAAAAAGAACATTTTTTTCTTCGTTTTTTACGGGTTATCAGTCCTTTTCAGGTTATTTAAAACCAGAAAATATTTTACATTATGAGAATTATTTTTTCTTTTCGGAGATAATAATGGATTGGATATTAAAAATCTTACTAATTACCCCCTAACTGGGGGGAGAAGTATTCATACTTTTCCCAAAGATATTTGCGTATAAGTCAATATAATGAGCCCATCTGGAGTTGGAACTCGGGCCATTATCCATTGCACCATCTGCACATCCAATCTGATATTGAGCACTTTTATCTATAAATATAGCACATCTGAAAACTATTGCCATAAATATGTCTACAATAAGAATACATTGTGATTATAATTTCACTATAGAAATTCAGTTAAAAATTTAGTAAAAGTTGCCTTGTAAATGATGTTACTATAAATGTGTACTGGAAATATTTGTAATGCCGAAATTCATTGTAACAACAACAACAACAACAACAATAATAATAATAATAATAATAATAATTGTCGTATTTGGAATGGACACAAAATTCTTAACAAGAAGTTTATAATTACCAATTCACACCGAAAGAAATAAAATTATCCTTGGTATAACGATAAACTACATATGGCATCAAGGCCTCTGATCGAGAGGTTTTGAAGAGAGTGTAACCACTTCTTAATTGCTGTTGTTCCCAAGTCTACGCAGATCCGGGGTGGTAGCTCCCGTTAGGGTCCCAGCTATGGGCAAATAGTGAATCCCCTCAAATGAAACTACTATGAAAGTATAAAAACATATTTTAATAGTAAAAATGCAAGCAGTACATTTTTATGTAACAAAAAGACCGATAATAGATAATCAGCATTACATTTTATCTGAAAGTATACAATTGCGTTCAAAATATTCAGAGTTTAGAATTAAATAACCCTTAGAGGTTCAACTGACTTGGAATTTAACAACTACAGTGAATCAATAGCTGCATCTACCACAAGGAAAGTTTATTCATTGTGTCATGCCAGAATGTTTTTCTCGTAGGAGTCCATCTAGCTTCCCACTGTCTTTTCCACAAATCTTTTCATGGCAGCTGCTCTGAGAAGAATTTTTTTTTGCCTGGTACCTTCATTACATGAATTTAAACGTGATACTAGATTGGCATCTCTGTTCCTCTCTTTGACTGTTGAAATAGTTAAATGCAGCCGCCACTTCTACAACAGTTTCTTTTCTCACACTTCCCGACAGTGGAGTTCCCTTCCGCTTACTTGCTTACCTGATCACTACAATCTTCTAAAATTTAAATGCAACGTCAATCGCTATCTTCTGTCGTCTTGTAACTCGTTCATCTTTTATCCTTTCCTCAGTCCTCTCCATACCCAGTCTTTTCTCTTACTTTCACTCTCTGTAACTCCCCGCGTACTAGTGGCATTCCCACCTTTCTTGGGGTGAATTGATTAAAAAAAAAAGACTTACCTTTCCGGAGGAGGCGATTCCATGAATCATACACAGGAAAACTATAATCCAAGCAAAAAGAATACAAAGTTCAATATGCCAAAGCATGTGCCCGTTCTCTTCTATGGATGAAGAGACGTCCAGAGTTGACCGGTACCAGAAGTAAGCAGTTGGACCCGCCAACTAAAAGAAAGAAATTTACAAATAAACAAAGTTACTACGTAATCTTGCCGGACATTTAACTAGATTTGTTAGTAGTAAACATCACGAAGCAAACAGAGAGGTGGTTTTTCTGTTCCACCATAGAAAGTATTTGGCCCTTGCCAGAGATTGATTTGTTACGGCTTCTCGGTTTATTTATTGTTTCACTAATTTGTTTTATCACCACTTTGCAGGTTATATAAAGCCGGATATTATTTTTAGATTATAAGAATGTTTTTGAGATAAAGTCCTACTAATTAACCCATAGCTGGGGGGGAAGAAGTTGGTTCATACCTTTCCCAAGGTAATTTGCGCGTAAGTGAATATAACGAACTCGGCACTCCGATTTCCATTTCCGAGCCATTATTAATTACACCACTCGCACATCCAAGCTTACAACACCTAATATTCCCAAATGGTCACCCGTCTAGGTATTGACCAGTCTCAACGTTGCTGAAAACAGTGGGTTATTTAAAACCGAAATATATTTTTTGTGAGTGCATATTGCATGGAGAGGGCAACGGGAAACCACGTCACAATCTTTCCGAAGAAATCATGACAAGTCATAGATAGTAAACAAACGGATATTGTGGAGAGCCAATACCACCTACGTCCTGAAGAGAGAAAGACTACTCTGAATTCAAAGCTGGGAAGAAGGCAAAGGGAAACCATTCCAATTCAGAGATAACAAAGAAAAAAGACGATATAAAGTGTCTGGATCCAGAGTTTGTTTTTATTGATTGATTTTTACGATTTATCAACCCTTTGTCGGTTAGTTAAAGCCGAAAAATATATTGGATTGTGATATAATGGAATATGCATACACCTGTGTTCCCCCTCACTGGAATGTGATTGGCTGGTGTCCGTCATAAATACCGACGGACGTGTAGGAGAGTCAGGAGAAAGAGCATTAGTCTGAGAGCTAAGTCTATAACGACGCCCATTAGACTACGCCATTGATCTATACATCTTACCTGCGACTACCACGCTTACCAGTCGATTATTGCTACCGTATTCTACTTGGTTATAGTAGCCAAAACCACTTAGTTACTTCGTTCAAATAGATCCCTTTCCGGGACATATCAGATAGATAGATAGATAGATAGTGATATAATGGAATATGCGTACACCTGTGTTCCCCCTCACTGGAATATGAGTGGCTGGTGTCCGTCATAAATACCGACGGACGTGTAGGAGAGTCAGGAGAGCCTTAGTCTGAGAGCTAAGTCTATAACGACGCCCATTGGACCACGCCATTGATCTACACTTCTTACCTGCGACTACGATGCGTACCAGTCGATTACTGCTACCGTATTCTACTTGGTTATAGTAGCCCAAAACACTTAGCTACTTCGTTCAAATATAGCCCTTTCCGGGACATATCAGATTGTAACAGTAAATCTTTCTTGCGAGTGAATATTACATAAAGTTTTTTTGAAAATAACAATAATTTTTTCAGTGCTACTGAAGTGCTAAAAAAGTGCTACTGTTTAACACATAGCTTGGGGTACGAGATGGATTCGTACCTTACCCAAGGATATTTGCTCGTAAATAAATGTAACGAAATTGACTGAAATTCGAACTCGATTCGCCAATTTTTCATTCCGAGCCATTATCCATTATACTATATGCACCCCCAACCCCGCTAAAGAATTGTGAATGTTATTGAACATGAAGATGAAAGTCGTATCAAGGATGAGAACAATGCCAAAACGACTGAAATAAATACTGGAAAAGATGGAAATTACCTGAAGAATTGGAACCATCTCGAAAACAGCTAAGATACTAAAAAGAATGTTGGCGTATTCAGAAGACCTACTGTTACTTAATTTACTTCTTTACCCTCGACTTCCCCCCATCCCTACCGAAGGGAGCTGAATGAGGGTCCTGGACAGTGCTTTGTGACCCTCGCTATCTTATCAGCATTTGCGTTTTTCTATCTACATTTATATACGTTACAAATTAAACTAAGCACAGCTGACTATTAAAGGATGACAAATTTATTGCAGACTAGCAGCATGGCCCAACGTTGCCCGGACTTGATTCAAAAATCGTACGACTCATACAGCAATCGCTATCACTTGACTTAAAATATTTTTGCCCTTCCTTGCCTTTAAAGGAGTGCCCTTTGCCGTGCTGATGTTGCTACATGCCTTACCTCTTGCCTATCTCACACTGCGAATTTTTTCTAAGCTCTATACTAAACATTAAATCTGTTACGAAAAAAGAACTAAACAAAATGAACACAAAACGATCAGCTTTAAAAAAGGACTCGTAACTGGAAAAACCAAATGAAAAAAGAATGTTAACAACAAATACTTTTTCACATCCAACCTAGTTTTGCGGAATCAGAATCAACGTTGAGTTTAAGCAAGCGAATGAGCCAATTGGAGTAAAGTGCCATGCAGATTTAAATTTTTCACATTTGTGACGAATGCAGCTATCGATTTTTTGCATGCTAACATACTAGTTAACATTCGTGTCAGTCAGCTGTTGGCTCTCACGCTGGCCAATAGAATGTTCCAGCCTATTTGTGGCAGCCAGCTATAGGCTCTCACTCTGGCCAGTACAGAATGTCCGCAAACTACATGAAAACTGCCGTAGAATTATGAAAAATCGATTATTTCCACTATCGATGGGAGTTGGGAAATGCAACGTCGGTCTTGGCCTTGCCGCTAACTTGGAGCATGTGCATGTAAATTTTGGTGCAAATCCGTCGAAAATTGCAGCCGTGCATTCATTACACACACACACACACACACACACACACACACACACACACACACACACACACACACACCCTGCCTTTTATAGATAGAGATTTTGACGTTATTCTGGCGGGGGGTCTTCTATTTTGTCTAAATACGTGAATTTGTTTTGCTCATGCAAACATTCTGGGATGTTTTTTCTATCCAAATTCGTGGATTTGTTTTGTCCATGCTAAGTTTCGAGAAAAAAAAAAAACACTATAAAATGCACTATTTTAGATCCATAACGTTGAATGAGTTAAAATACACCAACTTTTTAACAAGAAAAATATCAAGTTGTTGTTAAAAATTGCCACAAAACATTGATTTACTTAAGATGGAATGATCTATCATGACATGTTGCTAATTTGTATTCAGATATATTTTCAATTTTTCTAGTGGAATTGATCCCCTATATTGCATTTGATCCGTTATTGTACATAATTAGGTTACGATAAAATCTGTATTTTATATGAATACTACCGTATGAAAATTATGAGTCAGTAGAGTGGAGTGGAAGTGTATCATAGATTCGAGGTGTCACATGACACTTGCAGCCGCCCTACGCACGGTAGAGGGTTACTGATTGTTGTAAGGGAGGGGATATAGGTTAATCCTGGACTTGAAGAGACTGTAGTTGTCAGAGAAGAATCCATGGAAATTAATCAACAGCTGATCCAGAGGTTCACTATTTACATTATTCGGACTATTGTCCTCATCTTTGTCGCCATATTTATTACAACATTGTACGCTCCGGCCTTCTTCAGGTGGTTGGAATGTCGAACTGAACCCTTTATTTCGCTCACTGGGGTAGACGGTTCTAGTTCCACATGCCATGTTTAATGGATGTCAGTTATCAGTTATCTCCCGTTAATTCCCCACTCCAAGTTCACCACTGCCTTAACCGGGTATTGAACTCACACTCTTCAGGTCCAACGCATTTATCCACTGGCGTAGTGGATAAAGGCGTTGGTTAGATCCAGTGACATGACTCCTAAAAACAAAAAACAAAACAAAAACAGAAATTTAAAGATTGTAGATATGAAAGTAATGCTTCTCACCTCGCATTCTTTTACTGGCTGGGTTTCGTTCTTGTACCGGGCCCCAGGAACTGGAATCGTCGGACAGGATGACCACAAGAGTTTTGAACGGAAACTTTGACCAAAATAATAGAGGCACCAAGCGATGATTGTGTTGTAGTAGATGCCGACAATATATGACACCATAACACAGGAAAAGCCAATGCCTCCCAAGTACGGTGATATTTGGCTCCATGTGCCAATGGGTCCATTACGCATGCGCTGACCCATGGCCAACTCCATATAAAAAATGGGCAGACCCTCAAGGAACAGCATTATTATATAAGGGAGCAAAAATGCACCTAAAAAAGAAAGCAATAACGATAATAATAACAAGAACAAGAACAATAATAATAATAATAATAATAGTAATTGTTTGATTGATTGATTCGTTTGTTTAACGTTATGTCAACACATTATAGGTCAATTAAAGATCTGTAGACGTATTGGGATGGCCAAGGACGTGTTCCAAAAGCTGGGCAGAATATTACGAGACAGGAGGATTTCTTTGGTAACAAAGAAAAGAATACTGAGCTGTTACTTGATATCTGTTCTTCTTTACGGCAGCGAATGTTGGACGATTTCCTCAAAGATCAAGAAGAGACTCGAGGCGACGGAGATGTGGTTCTACAGAAGGATGCTAAGGATATGGACCGAGCGTGTGAGCAACGATGAGATCTTAGAGAGAGTGCAAACAAGGAGGAGGCTTATACATAACATCAGGAAGAGGCAGCTGAAGTTTCTGGGACACATAATGAGGAAGGAGGGCCCGGAGAATCTGATACTCACAGGTCGAATAGAGGAAAAGAGAGACAAGGGAAAACAACGCATGACATACCTGGTGGTCTTAAGCAAGTGGAAACGACATGGCATATAAAAAGAAAGAAAGAATGCCGAAATTTAATTTTCTTAGGAGCTTGGAAGTAGTAAAAAATATATGTTATTCTGCTTTCACAGTTGAATACATGGCAGAGGATACTCGGCTTTTGGGCCTGTACAGGCTTGTGAAGACATAATTACTAGTGGTGGTGATATGTGTGCTTTATGTTGTAGTTTTGTTGAAGTTATATTTTAGAAGGCAGTTTGATTTCTTTAAGAAATTGTAGGATATTATATGGATTAATATTATAAAAGAGTTTTGTCATATTGGTTGTTTAGTAGTATTTTAAACAGATTTGGATGAAGTTGCTACAATTTATTAGTATGTCCGTATTGTTGGTCATTTTACTATAAATAGGCATTGTTGGTAATTTTTTTATATAAAAATGTATTGCTTGTATTTTTACTATAAAAATATTTTTATACTTTCATAGTGTTTTGTTTTTGTTTGGGATCCTAACCACTCTGGATCAGGTTGGACCTGTGCACAACAGCATTTAACAGACAGTTCCACTCCTTCAATCTCTCGATCAGTGTCCTTGCTGCCGGATGTAGTTTATCGTCATACCCAGGACTAAATAATAATAGCTGGCCACTCGTCATCGGGAATAGCCGTCTACTAGTGTAACTAGCTAATCCCTATTGAGAACGCTTGCTCAGGCACATTTGTGTTTGTTCAACACCCAGATAGCCCACCTGCGGTTTATACTGCAACTATGCTGAGCGGACCTTAGTTACAGTTTCTGGGAGACAGCGTGTTATCTACTGTGATACGCTCAAACTCTCGGTCAAGATGACTTGTGATTTCGTGCTAGCACAGCCATCGATGGCCACTAAGGGTCTTGTCTACCCAATTTCACTCACAAGGCTTGGGTCAACCCGTGGTATGTTTTTCAGGCACTTTCCAAAGGTGTCTCATGCCTTCCTGACAAATCGACCATGGTGAGATTCGAACACTGTGCTCATGGTCAGTACGCGAAAGTTCTAACCACTCGGCCACGGGCCCATACACCCAATACATCATCATCATCATAATATCATCATCATCATCATCATCATCATCTTCATCATTATCATCATCATCATGATCAGCATCAGAGGCATTTGTGGAAAATAACAGTTACAAGATAAGTGATTTCTTGGTTCGGACAGATCATGTTATTAAAGCCCAAAGACCCGACCTTATTGAAAAGGTAAAGGGGAATAGCAAGTATCAAATTATTGACTTTGCTGTTGAATTTGATTAAAAGAGTGAACTCCAGAGAAGATTAAAAAGATAGAAAAAGTACCAGGATCAGACTGTGGAGTTAGACAAAACCTATGGAACTGGACTGGAGAATTAATTTCTATAATAATGTGTACACTTCTTGGAATACCACCCGAAAAAAAGCTTAGGGAAATTTGGAATTTAGACCAGAATTTTAAAGCTTCAGAAAACAGTCATCATTTACTCTGCAAGGATTCAAATTGAAATATAACGGTAAATCTTATGCTAACTGTTGGGGCCACCCACCTTCTCATCAGAAGGGACTGATCTCTCTACTACTAATAGGACAGTTCTATAGAGTTCTGGGAAGATCAGGTAACCATCACACTTCCGTCTTTCTACCGGAAGATACAGTTGGACTTTATACTCTTTCTGATTGTTACTGACTAACCTGCGTTCGTTTGATTACTAATCTTTCTGTTGTAAATACTTCTTCGAATATACCAGTATTTTTCCCTACGTATGTGTTTGTCCTTATTTCAATACACGCACGGGGAAACACTCAACATCCCAACATTAACAATATTCTGTAAGTCTGGCTTTAGAGTAAAAGAGGCAGTAGTAGATATGGGATTTCTCAGTCAGGACAATTCATGATATGGAAGACCAAAGACCCAACCTTATTGTTATAGATAAAGAGAGTAGCAAGTGTCAAGTTATTGACTTTGATGATGCATTTGATACAAAAGTGAACTCCATAAAAACTGAAAAGATAGAAAAATATTAAGATCAAGTTGCGGGGTTGAAAAAAGCTATCAAAGCTGACTTGAAGTAATTCCTGTTGTAATAGGAGCACTTGGAAGATTACCTAAAAATTTGAAAGAGTGCTCAGGGCGAATTAGAATTGTGACCAATATTGTAGAGCTCCAAAAAACTGTCATCCTTTACTCTGCAAGGATTCTCTGAAAAGTTCTCGGGTTGTTGGCACCATGTCTTAAGAACAGGACTTCCATTGACTACAGAATTGTTTCATTTGAAGAATAAGACAACTTGGGGGGTTACAACTAGATACTTGGGAATACCTTCAATTGGAGACCGTCAGAGCAGACTGGGTTACCCGAGAGGAAGGAATTCAGTAATCAAAATCTGTCATCAGATTGCACACATTTGGCTGTGATGCATGTACCTGATATAAATTTATCAGGCTAGAGGTCATGATGGGCATATTGGTTTGCTGGCATGCTGTTTTCTCACTCAACAACAAAACAACAACAACAACAACAAAACAACAAAACAATAACAATAATAATACACTTATAGAAAAGTGCGAGTGAAGAAAAGAAAATACACAGTGTTTAACAATATTTCGACAGTATGTCTATCTTCTTAAACATATATTTAAAAAACATATTTAAAAATATACAAGTCTCTGTACAAACGTCGCTTGTCTTGAGAGAAACTGATCTCCAATCAATACAACAAATTGAAAGAAACGCAGTTAATGTGAATGAAATGCAACTTAAACGTGAGTAGTATAATGGGGTTGTTTTCATCTTTTTCGGTTAGTTAGTAAGAATAATTAATCAAATAGATCTTATAAAATCTTTAAATCTTATAAAACTCTCCTGTCATTTTGTTCACCCCCTCCTCCCCGGGGGTGGGGCGTTAGTACTTTGTCTATGTAATTATCTTCATGCTCTTGAAGAGTTGAAAGGTCGGAGAATTCTGAATATTTTTCAGAATAGACACCTTAAAATGTTAAAATTTAAATGCGTTGAAGCAAGACTGCAGTTGTGTAGCGATTCTTACATGTTTTTTGTTGTAATATCTTAAATAATATATATATATATATATATATATATATATATATATATATATATATATATATATATATATAGAGAGAGAGAGAGAGAGAGATAGATATTGATAATATGAGTGGTCAATATATATATATATATATATATATATATATATATATATGCGCATTTAATCAGGAATCCTTCTTTTATGCACATTTCATTGAATAGAACAGACAAGATTTTGCTTTGATTGAGTTTTTTTATAGAATTTCTCACGCGATCTAATAATTTTTTTGTTTTCGGATGATAAATTATATAAAAACTGCCCGAATGTTGTTTTTATCCGAGCCTGTTGACGACACTAATATAATAGCATCTTCTACATACAAAAAAAATAAGATAAAAAATAATGAAAGACTTATTAATAAAAACAAAAAAAAACAACACTTAATAATATTAACTTTGAACATGGACATAATGTCTTGACCGTGTTTAGAAAAATAAAAACATTTTATAAAACATACATACAACAAACTATTTCTTATTTAACAAATAAAATATTTAATCTTTGAAAATGGTTAAATGTATAGCCGAAAGCGCTCGGATAAGAACATTCGGATAGTTTTTATATAATTTATCATCCGAAAAGAAAAAAAAAATTATTAGATCGCATGAGAAATTGTATAAAAAACTATTGTATTCAATGAAATGTGCACACACACACACACACACACACACACACACACACACACACACACACACACACATATATATATATATATATATATATATATATATATATATATATATGTATATATATATGAAAATATATAGAAAATAGGAAAGAACTCGTTACGTAAATAATCCAAAGTTCTTTAGTATTTTAGTTATTATTTTTAAAAAATAGTGCTCTGTTGCATGCTTGAAGATGGAACAGAGCTTACTTTAATTCAATTTAATTCAAATAATTATATAGAAGTTTTCGGCTCTTGTTTTGAAACATGAGACCTCTTATGTAGCGTGTTGGAATCATATTTTTAAATAAATAATTTTATATATATATATATATATATATATATATATATATATATAATGTAAATTTCCAAGAGCATAGAATCCAGGTAGAACTCAATGTCCAGGACAGAGTAAGAATATAATAAAAAAAAGGCTCAAACACTAATATTCCATAGTTATAATTTATTACATTGGAATAGTAATCACGATCCAATTCATCAGGCCTACAAATTCACACACACACACACACACACACACACACACACACACACACACACACACACACATATATATATATATATGTGAAAAGTGTATAAATATAAATAAATATAAGTATGTATAATTATTTATGTATTATATGCGCGGTACTTATTAGAAAGCGCTCAATATCAGAGATAGAGCTAACACACACACACACACACACACACACACACACACACACACACACACACATATATATATATATATATATATATATATATGAAACCTCCAAAAGAGTTAACTGAACGATTACAAAAAGGCTTCGTCTATGAAACCCCGGAGCTGAGGTGCTGAATATATCAATCAGCTAAGTGAACATTTAATATTTGTATTATTCATAGATAGATGAATAGAGAACTCACCGCCCCCGTTCTTCTGGGCCAGATATGGGAATCGCCACACGTTTCCAAGACCAACAGCTAATCCAATAGCAGCCAGGAGATACTGGATTTTGTTGTCCCAAGATTCTCGATCAGGGTCACGGAAGCTAATATTGCAAACGGTGCCGATGCTGGAGCTGATAAGATCGTCAGTTGAACGACCAATTGACGGCGTGTTTGTTGAAGAATGTTGCTTACCCATATCAATTGTATATACAGGGCCGCCATTAGCGGATGGACCTGTTGGCGTGGAGTTGTAACTCCTGGCAGGCATACGTTCATCTAGTGACCGTCTGTCGCTTGTCGATAAACGGTCTCCCATGGACACGCGATCATCGATGGACAGTTTATCAGATCCATTCGTGATTTCGTCTAAGGCTGAAGAGTAGGAACCTGACCGTTTCATGGCGGCAATAAGGAAGTTGGTGTCTTCTACGGTTTCTTCGGTATCAAATGACGAAGAGAATTTAGTGTGGTGCCGTCGTTGTTTGCGGGAGTCTGAAAGTTGCTTGCGACGGAGGAGGCCTCGGACGAGAATACCTGGTAGGAATAAAATAATGAATGTTAAATAAAAGTGTAAAGAAATTCTGCCAAATTCGACATATAGCTGTTCTGGCAGATCACAAATCGAAGACGAAAGAACAGGAAAAAAAAATTAAAAATAGTATTTCCTCACCTGAAATAAATTTCTGAATTTTAAGGTGGGGGTTAGACTTATATTAATAACTAGCAGCATGACCCAGCGTTGCCCGGGCTTGATTCAAAAATCGTACGACTCATACAGCAATCGCTATCACTTGACTTAAAATATTTTTGCCCTTCCTTGCCATTAAAGTAGTGCCCTTTTCCGTGCTGATGTTGCTACATGCCTTACCTCTTGCCTATCTCACACAGCGAATTGTTTCTAAGCTCTATACTAAACATTAAATCTGTTACGAAAAAAGAAATAAAAAAAATGAACACAAAACGATCAGCTTTAAAAAAGAACTCGTAACTGGAAAAACCGAATGAAAAAGGAATGTTAACAACAAATACTTTTTCACACCCAATCCAGTTCTGCGGAATCAGAATCAACGTTGAGTTTAAGCAAGCGAATGAGCCAATTGGAGTAAAGTGCCATGCAGATTTAAATTTTTCACACTTGTGACGAATGCAGCTATCGATTTCTTTGCATGCTAGCATGCTAGTTAACATTCGTGTCAGTCAGCTGTTGGCTCTCACGCTGGCCAATAGAATCTTCCTGCTTATTCATGGCAGCCAGCTATAGGCTCTCACTCTGGTCAGTACAAAATGGCTGCAAACTACATGAAAACTGCCCTAGAAGCATGAAAATATCGATTATTTCCACTATCGATGGGAGTTGGGAAATGCAACTTGGAGCATGTAAATTTTGGTACAAATCCGTCGAAAATTGCGGCCGTGCATTCGTTACACATACACACACACATCCTGCCTTTTATAGATAGAGATAATCAGCCCACCTGGAATTGTCACAAAACGAAACTCAAAGCATGATTGGAAGAAGCTGGAGATTCGGAAACTCTCCAGCTACGAGAGGGTCTGAGAAAATAATCCAGAAATGTCCTAGATATGTCATCATTTAAGGCTTTGAGCGAGTGAAGCCTGGGGGTCTTAACAAAGAACTTCCTTCTTTGAATATTGTGGACTGGCGATACAAATTCACAAAGAACTGTACCAAATAACATAAACCCCATCACTTGAGGACTACCAACAGTAGTAACACCTACAATGGATATCATGTATAACTTGAAGAGAAAATAGTGATATAATCAAGATGCTGACGTTCCACACTACTTCGAACAAAAGGCTAGGAAGGAAACCCCCCATCAATGCTGGAGAGAACGATAAGAGCTAATGGATTTGAGAAATCTGTTTTCCTGAAAAATTGTTTCAGGACAAATCAGTACTGGCTGCTCGGTCAATGAATGGCAAATGTTTCCTTATAGGGAAACGGCTAATATTACCATTACCACTACTCTCTAGAGATAACTATCAGGGATATGGGGAGGGGACATGCAAATAATAATAATAATTTTAGTGGACAAAGGAAGAGTTATAAGCTCTGGACAGAAAAACCCGAATACTGTTTTTTGAGAATGGTGCTCTGCACCAAAAGTTTGGTTTGGTTTGTTTTACGGCATATCAACCTCAATGGGTTATTTAATGCCGACAAGATTTTTATTGCTGGTAATATTTCTTACAAAAATATATTGCTGGTAATATACATTTTTTCAAAAATGTATTGTTGGTAATATTTTTTTAAATGTATTGCTGGTAATTTTTTTTTTCAAAAATGTATTGCTGGTAATAATTTTTTCAAAAATATATTATTGATAATATTTTTTTTTCAAAAATATATTATTGATAATATTTTTTTTCAAAATTTTTTGCTGGTAATAATATACTACTGGTAATAATTTTTTTCTTAAAAATTCATTGCTGGTAATAATTTTTACAAAAATGTATTGCTGGTATTAAAACCTATTTTTACACTATTTGCCCATAGCAGGGACCCTAACAGGTGCTACCACAGCGAGTCAAGGTGAACCTGGGAACAACAGCAATCAAGAGGCGGTTACACGTTCCTCAAAACCTCCTGATCAGAGGCCTTGCTGGCAGAAGTAGGTTATCGTCTTACCCAGGACGCTGCACCAAAAGTCAAATATGATAAGATTATACACTCCCCAAAAAGAAGTGTGTAGAGGACTTATCGACAGTAAAGAGTGTAGCGAGTGCGTATAAATAGTGAAGTGACATTCCTAAAGAATATGGCGAAACCCCCAAACCTTGTAAATGAAAGCATTGAGAACAAAGAAAAATACTTGAAAAGAAGAATTTAAAAACAAGAGTGTCAATGGCCGCTTCGTGAACAGTTTCAGGGGGACACCAAGGCGATTATTACAAAAGATTCGTGAGTTTGGTCGGCGAAAGGCGAACTATGGCGAGAGACTGAAAGCTTACTGGTAGCCATCCAAGTGCATGCACCTGAATACTAATTCGGTCCAGGAGAACATCTACCACATGGAGGGGAAAATGTCACCCGCATCATGAGAAATTGTAGCCTGTTTGCATTGAAAGAATACAAGCAGTACCATCTCTATTAGTGCCAATGTAGGATGTACGGACTTAAAACTATACTATTAATAGTATCGCCACAGACCATAGAATGTGATCGGAAATGACCAAGCCAGGATTTTATGCAATTTCAGCATAAAAAAAACGGATCCTTGAGACAACCAAACCAGATATTATTACTTAAAAAAAAAGAAAACGAGAACAAAAAACACACACACAAGAAAATGTCTCAACATATATGTAACTGATTCTGGTGACCATAATATCAAGGCTAAAGAAATTGAAAAGCTTAAAAATAGACCTACCAATGTTTCTAAAATATGAATTTCACAAACTATCACATTATAACGACCTGCAAATCGAAGTAACAAAAATGTGGAATCTTAAAACTACAATTATCTCTGTTGCGATAGGGGCATTGGGTATGTTAAAGAAGGGTACCGAAAATCATGTGAGCACAGTTCCTGGACACAGCAGCATCTAAGAGCTACAAAAGATTACTTTGTGCGGAACTGCACATATCAGCATAACCCTCTCCATTTAATTAGGCACTTAAAATTACACTCTGGCAAGATGATACTACAGACAATAATAATAATTATTATTATTATATAACATCAAAATAGCCTCCCATCTGCATTGGTGTTTATGTAGAAAACATAAACTTGAAGTCAAACAGCAATGGTGTCGACAAAAACCAGAGATTGTGATCGAAAACAACCAAGTCAAGATCTTGTGGGTGTTCTCCATCCAGTCGGACGACCTCAAACAGATGGCAGGATACTTGTTTGAAACGAAAAAAACTGCACGGAAGAAGGTAATAATAATAATAATAATAATAATAATAATAAAATATTAATAATAATAACTCCTTATTGACATGGCAGTCCCTGCATACTGCAATGTATCTTTGAAGATATTCAAAAAGCTGTCAAAATACAAGGACCTTGAAATAGAAATCTCGAAAATGTGGCATATGGGAACATCAACAATCCCTATTGTAGTTGGAGCCCTCGGATTGGTCGGAAAAGATTGCAGTAGACTAATTGAAGGGATTCCTGGAAGTCCATGCCTCAAAGAAATACAAAAAATTGTTCTCACAAGTACAGGCCTCACATTACGAAGGGGTATATCTAAGTAAATTTCTTTTTTTTTGTCAGTGGAAAGTGTCATGATGCCATTTCTAACCTTAGGTCTCTGGTTGGGACCCGGAAAGAAATGTGTAAACGCTTGAAATCAAAGGAAATAATAATAACAATAATAATAATAATAATAAAAGTTAAAAATGAAGTTTCAAATGGTCGCAGAAATACAAGTAAAGCACAATACACCGGCTGAAGCTGCAAAATAATTAAAAAAAGAAAGCAAAGACAAATGCAACCGACCAGTTACAGAAGCGATGGCAAGATAAACCGTTTCATGGCCAATACTCTGCCCGTACCAAACAAGCTGACGTAGATAAAACCCGTACCCATCAGTGGCTACGTAGTGCAGGGTTGAAAGTTGAAACTGAAGGTTTTATCATTGCTGCACAGGACCAATGCTTGTTAACTAGGAATTATCAAACCCATATACTAAAATATTGTGTTAGCCCCAAATGCAGATTCTGTGATAAATATGCGGAAACAATTGATCATCTTGTATCAGGTTGAATGGTATTGGCAGCCAATGAATATAAAACCCGACATGGCAGAGTGGGCCAATATCTGCACTGGAAAATCTACAACTTCTACGGGAAGGAAACTGAAAGGAAATGGTATGAACACCACCCAGACCCGGTTACGGAGATAGGACCTGTTACAATTCTATGGGACTACACAATACACACTGACAGAACAATCAAGGCCAACCGGCCAGATATTGCTATTAAAGACCACAAACAAAAACGGTGCCTCCTTATTGATATGGCAGTCCCTGCTGACTGCAATGTATCTTTGAAGATATTCAAAAAGCTGTCAAAATACAAAGACCTTGAAATCGAAATCTCAAAAATGTGGCATATGGGAACATCAACAATCCCTGTGGTAGTTGGAGCCCTAGGATTGGTTGGAAAAGATTCTAGCAGACTAATTGAAGGGATTCCTGGAAAGGATTCCTGGAACTCCATGTAAACGCCAGATATCAAAGGAAATAATAATAATAATAATAATAATAATAATAATAATAATAGTTGGAGCCCTATCAATTGTTGGAAAAGATTCCAGTAGACTAATTTGGATTCCTGGAAGTCCATGCCTCAAGGAAATATAAAAAATTATTCTGACAAGTATAGCCCACACTTTACGAAGGGCTTTATCTATTACATTTTTTTTTTGTCAGTGGAAAGTGTCATGATGCTATTTCTAATCTTAGGTCTCTGGTTGGGACCCGGAAAGAAATGTGTAAACGCCAGAAATCAAAGGAAATAATAATAATAATAATAATAATAATAATAATAATAATAATAATAATAATAAAATAAAACAAGTTCAAAATGGAGTTTCAAATGGTCGCAGAAATACTAATTGAAGGGATTTCTGGAAGTCCATGCCTCAAAGAAATACCCAAAAAAGTGATGGGATTGGTTACGAGGCTTTGGTCCTGAACTGCAATAAATAGGCTTCCTGTCTCGGTGTTTCTCAGCTGTGTTGTCTGTTGGTCCATATCTGCTTCTTTCTTTTTTTTTTTTTTAGGTATGTGCCATGCAACACCCTGTCCTCCCAGTTTTTCTTTTTTTGTTTTTTGTTTTTTTATTGCTCTTTCATTTGGCCAAGTTGTTTTGCTTTCTGTTTTATTCGTTTGGTCTAGATGGCATTCACTTCATTTTTTGTTGTAGGGTTTCAGGTATGTTAAGTTGTTTCTTAAAGAGCACAGCTTCTTTCTTGATGAAGTGGATTTGGTGTTTTACTATTTGCAGGAAAGGGTCATTAGTTTTTGTGGAGCATACTTCCAATCCGAATGTTGTAGTTTTATTATTATTATTATTATCATCATCATTCATTAGTATTAAAATTACATGACGAATCCAACGTAAACGCTGTTTTTATATAATTTTTTTTAACTATCCAATAATCTTAAAAGATTAAAAGAATTTTAAATATTCTAATATTTTAGTGATTTTTAGATACTTTAAATTTATATATAAATCTCTTCCAATTTCTAGCACCGGCCGGAGTTACTTAAATAGATTACCCCCATTCGTAGAAAAATAATGAATTTTTTTTGTTAGGGGGGGGGGTAATTTTCGTAGATTATCATTCTTTCGATTTTTCTCAAGCCACAACACATGTCAGAATCGAAAAATATTGATTTTTTTTTTATTTATTATTTATTTTATTTTTAATATTGATACAGTAGAAAAACGATTCTGATTTTTACAGAGATATCGGAAATTAGTTGTCTGTTTACAATTCTTAAATTTGAATTTAACATTATTGATTTCTGTGTAACATAATAGACATTTTTTTTTAATTTACTAAAAACGTAAATAAAGAAAACGAATATACACGTAAATATGTTGCTGGAATATATAACCGCATCAACTACACTTCTGACCTTCTCTTATTCTCATACATCATACAGTAACCTACTAGCTTGAGTTGCTTTGGGCTTTGTCTTGGGGAAAGATCAGTACAAAACATATTTTTTGCTTTTGCTCTATGTCGGTTTTATCGTTTTGTAAATATCGCGTTGTTGAAGATTTTTTTTTTTGTTGAATCATTAAGGCTGATCTTTGAGGTTTTGTTGAAAGTGATGAGTTTAATTTGTTTGTTTTTGCTTATAGGTATTATATATATATATATATATATATATATATATAGTATAGTATAGTATATTATATCCGGTTACACTGTATATATATATATATATATATATATATATATATATATATTGCAGTTCTGTGTATACATTTCTTATATATATATATATATATATATATATATATATATATATATATAAATACATGAATTATTCATACAAAACTAATACAAGGTTAATGATTTAAATGATCCATCTTACAAACGTATACAAAAAAAACCTCTAAAATCCTGTATTGAGTTGTTATTTTTACTACAATACTAATACTAATACGGCAGAAATTTATATAAACAAGGATCAACTCATGCATAACGGATTTAGAGGTTTTTGTGTACTATTTGAATCGTTTGCAAGATGGATGTCTTGCCATTTAAATCATTAACCTTTGCATTAGTTTTGTATGAATAATTCATGTATTTGTAAATTGATTGCACTTTTATTGTAATATATATATATATATATATTATGAAATGGACAAACTCCGACAATTATTTTAAAACATTTTTATGTTTATAGATTCTTTTTAAAGATACAAATATTTAAGTAAATGCTCTGTTTTATAATAAACAGTATTAATAACATTTACCGGCCTGAATGTCCGAGAAATTTTCATAAAATATATTCGTCCACCGAATATATATAATTAAATTTACACGTTTATATTTTTTTTATATCCCAGAAATAAGCTTTTAAAATATACATTAAAATGCCATCTAAATTATGCTTATTCCTAGCTATCCTTAAATTTCGTACTACAGAAAACTTGTTGTTTACTCGTATCGGTTTTTTTTTTCTTTGGGCTTCAGACCTGCATCTGTGCGATTTTTTTGTCGGCAGAAGTTCATGTTTGTAGCTCTTTCTTTTTTTAAAACCTTTTTTCCCTCGAGATTGATTTCATTAGCAAATCCAAAATTGAGGGTTTTTCGAAACGAGTCTAGTTATCTATATATATATATATATATATATATATATATATATATATATATATAGTTTATGAAAACATAGGTAATCCGTATGGGTAGACCCAAGGAGGATGATATCCTGAGAGCTCAATGTAAATTCAGAGCAAATATGTTTGAATAAAAAACAGAACACTTTAATGTTCCATGTAATAAATTATTTCACCACAGCCCTTTTAAAGGGCTCTGGATCATCAGACTTTATTTCCGAAGGTTGAAATGGAAAATGAATATATATATATATATATATATATATATATATAAGTTTTCTGTAGTACGAAATTTAAGGATAGCTAGGAATAAGCATAATTTATATGGCATTTTAATGTATATTTTAAAAGCTAAAAAAAAACAACCGGCTCCATCACAGCCTTATCAAGTTTATTTCTGGGATATAAAAAAAATATAAACGTGTAAATTTAATTATATATATTCGGTGGACGAATATATTTTATGAAAATTTCAAGACATTCAGGCCAGTAAATGTTATTAATACTGTTTATTATAAAACAGAGCATTTACTTAAATATTTGTATCTTTAAAAAGAATGTATAAACATAAAAATGTTTTAAAATAATTGTCGGAGTTTGTCCATTTTTATAATATATATATATATATATATATATATATATATATATATATATATAAGAAATGTATATACATTAGTTGACTTGAATATATATATATATATATATATATATATATATATATATATATATATATATATATATATATATATATATATATATATATATATATATATATATATATATATATATATATATATATATATATATATATATATATATATATATATATATATATATATAACCGATATAAGAGAGTTGTCGGGACCGGAGAAGACTCTTATATCCGGGTTTCTCTTATATCCGGGTTTCTCTTATATCCGGGTTTGGTCTTTTTGTTTAGGTAAGTATGGGCTTTTAATTTGGGACCAGAGAAAATCTCTTATATATCCGTGTTTCTCTTATATCCGTGTTCTTATATCCATATATATATATATATATATATATATATATATATATATATATATATATATATATATATATTTCAGTTCTGGTGTATACAATATTTCTTCCTGGGTCCTGTCTAGAGACCTAAGGTCAGAACTGGCATCATGACATTTTCGCAATCGTCAAGTCATGAAGATTGTGTTCAAATATGCAACAAACTGCTGTCGCTTTGTGTTGGCTACAGTGTCGACTTTTATATTTACATACGCTCTATCTCTAATATTGAGTACTTTTGCTCATAAATATAGCATATCTTAAAACTATATTTTCATCATATCTATATATCTATAATTCTCAAAATGTGCGTGTGTATGTATGTGTGATTGTGTGTGTGTGATCGGATGTTGTTTATGCATTTTCACAGTTTTCATCCGATTTCGTTGAAATTTTATTTTTTTTTTTATAGATAATTCTTCAGTGCCGGTTTTGATACCAAATTGGCTGGAAAAAATTACAACCTTGAAGGGGAAATATAGAAAATTTTCAAATTTTACACTTTGCGCAAGAATCAAAGGCAAAATTTAATAGGTGTAAAAAAACAGCGTACAATCAATTTAGAGAGTTGAAATCTAACGCAAAAGATTATAAGAATTATATAAAAAAAATTATATTATAAATAAAAATTATCGTATATTATTATTATGACGGTCCGGTTCCTTCTGTCCAAGATTGAAAACGCCAAAACGGGTATTTTCAGGGTCACCCCCTATTCAAATTGTTAACCCCCCACTTGGGGATGTGCCTCATTTGCAACCAATTTTTGTTACTAATATTGATTTTCGGGTGAGTTGACTTTAAACTTAAACTGCTCCAATTGAACGGCAAAAATTCCTCGTAATAAAACACCCGGTCGAAGTCGGGTTATACTACGAGTATATATATATATATATATATATATATATATATATATATATATATGAAATATCTGTTGCGGAACAGTCTCCCGAACGATTGTTTTCCCGATCACTACAAACTAACCTCTTCAAGTCTAGAGTTAACAATTTTCTCTCCTAAATGACCTCATAGATTACACTTCTAACCTTCTTTTCTTACGCTCATATAGCATAATTCAGTAACCCTCTAGCTTGAGTGGCTCTTGGGCCTTGTATTAGATGAACATAAGTTTAAAAAAATATGCGCTCATACAATGTAACTCGTGGTTATGTTGTTTTGTTTTCAATTGTAAAAGCGAGTCTAATTGTTTCTAAAACACTTGCACCGAACAGTGTGGCCAAAGCTTTGTGGGCAGTCAGGTAATTCGGGCCTTGGGCCAGTTGTCTGTAATTAGTACTTTTTTACCTTTGGCGACCAGCCATGTCTGCTCTGTAAATCTCACCTGTGACAGGTGAGGGAACAACGGGGAGGCGAAGATGGTGGACACAGAGGGACAAAGTGGATTTCGTTTGGCACCTGAAGAACATGAGAACTACTCAACATTATCACCCCCACAACCGCTTACCTTTTAGATATTACTCTGTCCGTCTCTTTGATTTGTGGTTTGTTTTTTGGCTTTTTTTTGTTGTTTTTTTGTTGTTTTTTGGGTTGTTTTTTTTTTACTTTCCTCATTTTCTGTTTCTTAATTCTGTATTGAACCATTTCATGCGTTTCCATTATTTTTGCCTTTCTGTCTTCACTACTTCTACATTTCTTTCTTTCTCTCTCTCTCTTTCTTTCTTTCTCTCTTTCTTTCTTTCTTTCTTTCTTTCTTTCTTTCTTTACTCATTCTCTCTACTCCCCCTCTCTCTGTCTATTTTAATCTATTCATCTATTTTCCTTCCTTGGTCTCGTTTTTCTTTCTTTTTTCTTTCTTTCTTTGTATCTATCTTCATTTCTATTTCTATCTATCTATCTCATTCATTCATCTATCTATCTATCTATCTATCTATCTATCTATCTATCTCATCTTGCTTCTTGTCCGTCTCTTTGATTTGTGTTTTTTTTTTTGAGTTGGTCTTTACTCGTTTTCTGTTTCTTAATTTTGTATTGAACCATTTCATGCGTTTCCATTATTTTTTCTTCCTTTCTGTCTTCCCTTTCACTTTCCATTATATTCCTTTTCTTTCTTTCATTTCTCTCTCCCTCTCTCTTTCTTTCTTTCTTTCTATCTCATTCTTTCCTTTTTTCTCTCTTTTTCTATTTCTTTATTGCTTTTCTAACAATGGGCTGTGATTTCTCTTTCTTTCTTTTTTTCTTTCTTTTTTTAAAACTATTTTGATATATATATCTTTTTTTTTTTCTCTACGCATTTTTCTCTTTTTATATTTCTCTTTGTATTTTGTCTACTGGACTACTTTCTTTTTTTCATTCTTTTTACTGCCCAGTTATTTTTTTTTTTCTTTTTCATCCCATTATTCCTTTTTATTTCCTTACTGTTACTAAATTTTCTATTATTTTCTTTTAAACTTCTATGGACACTTTTTCTTTCTTTCTTCCTATCTTACTTTCTTTCTTTCTTTCTTTCTTTCTTTCTTTCTTTAACATTTATTAAATGTTCTTTCTTTTTTCTTCTTTCTTTCTTTCATTCTTTTTTCTTTAGCATCAACTTTTTTCTTGCTTCCTTTATCTCCTGACATTTTCTTTATCTTTCTTTTTTCTTTGTGTTCATTTGTTTGTTTGTTTCTTTCTTTCTTTCTTTAACCAACTATTTTTCTTGCTTTCTTTCTTTAAAATCTGCTCACTTTTCTTTTTCTTTCTTTCTTCATTCTTTCTAATCCTTCCTTCCTTCCTTCCTTCCTTCCTTAAAATCAAATATTTTTCTTACTGCCTTTATTTAACATCTACTACATTTTCTTTCTTTCTTTCTTTCTTTCTTTCTTTCTTTCTTTAATCGTCTACTACTTTTGTTCTTGTATTAGTTTTCTTTTTTCTTTTAATATCTCCTCCCCCTTTCTTTTTTCTTTTAATCTTTCTTTTAACATCTAACACCTTTCTTTCTTCTTTTTTCTTTCTTTCTTCTTTTAATACTTTTCTTTTCATATCTACCTCCTTTCTTTTTCTTTCTTTCTTTCAACATCTATCACCTTTCTTTCTTTTAAAATGTATTACCCTTTCTTTCTTTCTTTCTTTCTTTTTGCTACTTTTCTTTTTTCTTTTAATATCTACTACTATTCTTTCTTTCTTTCTTTCTTTCCACTTATTTTCGCTTCCCCGTTCTTACGCGTTAGTATTTTTCCTTGATTCGCATCAACACACAACTACATTCTAACACTGGAGTCGACACGGAGAAAACGGTGAGTAAACATTGTTTATATAAACCTATCGATTAAAAAAAAATCAATCTTGCTTTTTTTTAATCGATGACCGTCCCAATTCGTAGTTCACCTTTGACCCTCTCCAAACAGATTTTTCCCGCTCAACTTGTTCACCCTTCACGGTTACATTTGTCTTTCCTGCACTTGAGTTTCTATCACGTTCTTGTCTTTCTTTCGTCACTCATTGAGATGTTTACTTTTTATTTATAGTTTGCGGGATTCCAAATTACTTAACATTTCATATAAAAACATAATTAAAAAACAAAAACAGAACAAAGAACAAACAAACAAATGAATTATTGCTTTCAAAAGAAATTATTCGTTGATATTTCTAATTTTCGTAAGAATATGATTTTGATTCCGAATATAACTCACTCTTCTAAAAGTTCGTTAACTAGAGAGAGTAGAAGTGATTCCCAAAAATATACCTGCTGTAAATCAATATTTACATTTAGTGCGTGGTATTTCGATATTTTTCGATAATATGACATTTATTCAAATCATTTTTTCCAATAGAACACAAGACTATAAATACGATGCATTTCCTTTTATTCGTTATTAAAGTCTAAAGACCGGCGCACATATAATTTGTTAACTGTCAGTGGCTAAAGAGTGAAAGGCCATTCGTTCTATTAACTTTAAACGATGGGGAGATAGAGAGAGAAATAAAGAGACAGTGGTAGAAAGAAAGAAAGAAAGAAAGAAAGAAAGAAAGAGGAAGAGAGAAAAAGAAGAAGAAAAGCAGAGAAAGAAGTCGAGACGGAAATGAAGAGAGAAGGTAGAAAAAACTGAAAGAAAGGGACAGAAAGAAAAAAGGATTGCGAAAACGAAAAATTAATGATTTGTAAGAAAGAAAGAAAGAAAGAAAGAAAGAAAGAAAGAAAGAGAGAGAGAGACGGAGAGAAACCACGGAACAGAGAGAAGTGGGATTCAAGAAAGAAAGAAAGAAAAGAAAAGAAAGAAAGAAAAGAAAGAAAGATTACTGAGAAAAGAGGAAGAAACGCCTCTGATTTTTTTTTTTTTTTTTTTGTATTTCCATAAGAAAACAGACAAGATTAAGAAAGAAAGAAAGAAAGAAAGAAAGAAAAAAAGAAAGAAAGAAAAAGCAAAAGAGAGAGTGGGGAGGAAATAAGGAAAAGAAAGAAAAAGAAAGGAAATGGGGATGAGAGAGAAAAAGGAAAAGCTAAAAAAAGAAAAAAAGAAGAAAGAGAGAGAGAGAGAGAGAGAAAGAGAAAGAAAGAGATCAGTTTATCTAAAGAAACTGTAGTTTATTTAACCTAAAATATCAAAGGTAGGATTTATTTTACTTATATAATCAAAATTTTCATTCGCCTTAATTATCTCTCGCGTGATATGAAAAATTTCAAGATTAGTGGATGGAAAACAAAATGAACTCGACTTGATGTGACTAAGAATTTGAATCAAGATTTTAGATTATTGTTTTTGTTTTGTAGCAATTTGTGGCGATGGGTAAAACTATCCCAAATACAATCAATTCTGTGTTCTATTTTCTTATTTCCTCTACTAAATTTGTTATAAACTGATCTATATCCCCGACATATTTCAAGTGTTTAGTATTTACTAATTCAATATACTGATTTTTTTATGATGGATTCATGGCAAATGACATCACTGCTTCTATTTCAGTTGCAGATTATAGATTTTGTTTTGGGAAGGTCTACCTTGACCCCTATTTCGTGGAACATTTGCTAAAGGATAACGATTTTTATCCATCGTAAATTATATTACTATAAAATGCATCGTAAAGTAGTTGCTATAGTAATGCACTGAAGAAAGAGATTGTCGGTGGTCAGTAATTAAAGCAAGCATTACAGACTGACAGGCTGTTATATTTATAAGGCAAATGCATAGCTAATTATTGTACAATAAATAGGTTTTCAAAATCAGGAAGAATGCGATTCTCCCTGTTCAGGAGTTAATACAAGTTTTACTGTGTAGGGCTGTTATATGACTCATCGTCGACATCCGCTTGCATTGGCGTCATCATCCTCTCTCCTTATTCCATTTCTCCCTCACCCTACTCTCTGGTGGCGGTTACGGAGATGGCTGTGAAGGCCCAGCCTACTCCTGAAGAGTCGTGAGCAAGTGTCACAGAGAAGTGTGGGTGGTGGACGCGGCTGGGCAAGTCGGGCCCTCCTTGGCAGTATGTCGCAGATCCTCGGTTGGACTCGAAAGTCTCGGTTCCCCTCGGATGGTCTTACGCCAGGAAGGCCGATTTGAAGCACCGTTTCCCACGTCTCAGGGTCGATGTTGGCCTGTGTCAGGGATATTTTCAACTGATCCTTGAAGCGCCGTTTTGGGCCCCCGTGTAGCCTCTTGCCGCTGGACAGTTCTCCAAACCTGGGTGTCGAGTGGGACACATTCTGGAGACGTGAACCGCCCAGCGGAGGCGATGTTTAAAGATGCTAGCCACGATACTGAGAAGAGATGTTCGAGAAAGGACCTCGTTGTTGGTGATACGTCCCTCCCAACTGATGCGAAGGATTCTTCGGGTATTCGTTTGCTGACGTTTGAAGTTTCGACGATACAAGGACCAGGCCTCGGAATCGTACAGAAGGGTGGAGTGAACCACAGCTCGGAAGACTATGAATTTCGTTTTTATGGTGAGGCTGTGATTATTGAGGACCCGATGTGAGATCGTTTCGTACGCAGTATGAGCCGCTTCGATCGTGTTTTCAAGGTCTCTCTCACAGGTAACATTATTCGAGATACTGCTGCTAAGGGTTGTACTATAAAATTTCACTGAAAATCAGGAAAAAAAGGATTATCTATGGTCAAAAATGAATGCCCCGTGTTATCTTATGACTTCTTAATTCTTGTTCTTCTATTGTTCTCTTTTCTTAATAGCGTCTTTTTCGCATATTCTCTCACACTCAGTAATCGCTTGTATCTTAGTGACTTTATTGCCTTTCTTAGCATAAAATGGTTTTAAAAAATGCAAGATTTACTTACTGAATATGGCTACAATACTTTTTGGTAAAAGAATTGGCAAAAATCATACAATAGAAATTCATTGCAGTCAGGAAGAAAGGGATTATCAGTGGTCAGGAATGAAACATTACTGACTAAATAAAGCTTGATATTTATAAGTTAAATGGATTGTTAAAGATTGCAAGATGAAAATATAATGAAAATCAACAAGAAAGGGATTATCAATGGTCAAGAATTAAACACTACTGACCGAATAAGGCTATGATATTCATAAGGTAAATATATTGATAATGATTTTACTATAAAAAGGCATTGAAAATCAAGAACTGATTGAATTGTTTTTTACAGCTTATCAACCCATTGCAAGTTTTATTTAAGGTCAGAAAATATTTTTAGATTGTAAGAAATTTTTTTTACCAATACAAGTTCTTCTAATTAACTAAAATTTTTAGGTTAAGTGATTTTATACCTTTTCCAAGAGTATTTGCGCGTAAGTGCGTAACGAACCCGATTGGAATTAAAACTTGGTTCTCCGATTTCCAATTCTGAGCCGTTATCCTTTACACCAGCCGCACATCCAATCTTACAGCACCTGACATTTCCTAGCACTGGCCAGGCAATGGTGATCGTACGGGAACCAGTGTTTCAACGTGATATGGCCCTAAGCCCAGAAAATCAGAAAGAAAGGGATTATTCACGTTAAAGAATTAGTGAATTATTGAATAAGGTCATTATATTTTAAGATAATGTATTGCTAATTATTGTACTATAAGAATACATCGAAAATCAGGAAGAAATGGATTGTCAATGGTCAGGAATTAATGTAAGCTTTACTAATATAATATAATATAATATATTGTCATAAGTAACATAGTATTGTAACCATATTTTTAATCTTTCAAATTTTTCTTCATGTTCTATTGTTGGTTAATTTTTTAGTGTATTCCAACATAAAAAGCAAGATCACATTTTTGAAACGATACTTTTTTTTTTTGGACTAGTATGTTTTTGGAGTTTTTTTTTTCTTTTTGTCATAATTTTGCACAGTCTTTGGCAGTTGGGAGACAGTGCATATAAAAAAAAAAAAAATGAAAGCTAATCTCATGGTGAAATTCGAACTCGCCTCCCTTCATCTTAAAAAAGGGCCTAGTTAACAACTGCTCTAACAGCCACCGGCGACTCAACAGCTTGTGTGTTTATATTATCCTTATATTTCATTGTTCATATTTTTCGGCATTATATTTTTTTTTTTTTACTTTTGAAGTATTATTAGCAAGTGGACTTGAGAAACTTATTTTTCCTGGAAAATTGATTCAAGAAACGATTTTAAAAATCTCAACTGACCGTTCGATCAATGAATGCTGAATATTTTCTAACAAGAAAACATTTCATCTCACCCTTAGCATAATATCATAGACGGCATAAAGACACCGTGGCGCAATAGTAAATAGCATGGCATTATAATCGAAGGGTAACTGGTCTGAGTCCCTGGGAAGGATTTAGTGGTTAGTGCGAAGAACTTACAAACGTCATGTCCCGAGGAAAAAGACGTGGCCCGATATCAGTTTCAATATTTTCAACAATTTTGTAATGTTTCTTAGAATATCAGATACAAACGAAATATGCAATTATCTGAAGCGGGAACATTTGGACACACGTGGAAAAAAAAAACTCCCTTCCTCATCCAATCTCTTTAATCATTTGCTGCGCCGCATTTGTAGTATGAGGAAACACCTTGTCCTACAGTAAAAACGTCGTTCGTTATCCTTGATTAAAAGTTTCTTTTTTTCAATTGCAAGGTGCCATTCAAACGACTGATTTACGTAACTATCAAATATTGCTTGTATTGCTTTAAAATACCCCCAGTTTTTTTTCATAATGTTTTTTAAAAAGTTCTGACGATTTGAACAAGTTTTTTTTTTCTTGGACTTAAAATGTATTTTTGTTAAACTTCGCAAAGCATTCTAGACACGTGCTAGCACCAACTAAATCATCTTCCTAA